AACCACAGTTAACTCTAAATAAGCACTTTTGATAATTTCATCGTTGCCTTTGTAATACTTCTCAGGGAATTTGAGCTGTAACACAAGAAGTTGAAAGGAACCTATTAAAACAATTATGATGTCCTTTTACGAAAACTAAAAAGCTGCTCTAAACCTCAAATGGGAAAAGAGCATGCGTGAAATCACGCAGTGAATCCAATTGGACTGGCCTTACAATCAGATTAACCATTAAATAAAATTAGTTTGAAGGGTCTATATTGTGGTTAATTATTTCAAAACCATCAAAAGTCCACCAGCATTCTTGGTACAAAATAAAATTCTAATCAGATTTGATGATGGATTTTGCACAATAAAGCATCAATGGAAAGTGTATATCTCCTTCTCACTTCAATTGCGATCAAAGTGATGTACTTTTAATTTTTCAAAGTAGTAATTTGAATATACTATTTGTACTTGTGGAAAAGGCTCTTCTACTTAGGCGAATACGATTTATCGCAAAATGGCCTGTTTAACTAAGTCACAAAGTCCATATGATAAACTATAAGAAATTAATTCGCGCCAAACTGGCCTCTATAAGTCATGAATTACCATTTTCGATTTATCGTCAAGTAAAAAGGCAACTTTGAAAATATGGATGCAGTTTGTGCAAATAAGGATAAATTAACGAAAATCAATGAAAACCTCTGAAAAAAATCATACTGTGTGATTTTAAGTAGGCAAAAGGGGTAACTTAACGATGAAGTACGTATTGTAATCAACTCAGAAGCTTCAGCCACTGAACAAAAACACGTGGGATGCTAATCTAGAGCTAAATAACGCAAAATTTCACAATATTATCTCGTTTTCTTTCAGGTACAGACTTTTATCCATTGACTGTTAGAAACACAATTTTTATAACCATTTTTTGCTGAAGTCATTTGAGTAAATTTTATGTGAGAACAGCGACAGTCATCATTTTCGAAAGGCGCGAAGCATATGTGGGTGAACGAATCACCTTAGATTTCAAGGGTTTTTAAGGTTTGTATTTTTATGACGGTGCATCTTCGAGTGCTGAAAAGTCAACTGATGGCCCCTTATCCTAAATCCCTACATGGGACATAATAGACAGTCATCTAGGGTGTACCAAGAATCTCGTGTTGATGAAAGCTGGCCTTGATAAAGCCATTGCGATTTTACAGAGGACTTGGCTTCTACCTCGAACCATGGTATGTAACCTGTTTGGGCATTGCCAGGCAGGTAAATTACAACAGCCAATCTTAGAATTTTGTTTGGGCAACATGCATTTGTTTCAAGTGGGCAATTATGTCATACGGCAAGTCATTTCCCTAAAACTAACTACTGATGATTTAGTAATTCTCCAGATCTACGTGAGGTCACAGTTGATATTACCAAATCTTGGCAAGTTATTTGACCTTTGAAATAGTTAAAAGCGAATATATGAACTGAACAATAATGTAAGCGCTCAGCTTTTCAATTTACAAATGGTTCAGGGATATTGCTGATCTAAATAGGTATAACAGGTGAACCTCCGATAAAGTGGCGGTATTGTGTGTCAGTCAAGCTAGTACATTCGAGACCGGCTCTAAAGTAAGAGACAGGCTAATCTGGACAGCCCTGGACCATTAAGTGATCACTGGTTCAAGGTAATATATGTAGGACTCTAATCTATTGGCTCTCATACTCTCCACATTGATATGAATAAGATTGTGGATTCATAATCACGTTAACGACCTAGACGCATGGAAACTTGAACATTAACTGCTTGAATGCCATCAGCGTATGTGTTGAATAAGCCTGACTACAGAATTATTCTGAATAACCACATTTATTGCATAAGTCGATGTCCCGTAGACATAGACAGAGGGTGCGTGCAAGGTTACTGTGGTCCTCGAGACTGGAAAACAGTGTGTCGGGACACACATCGTCAGGGTTAATAGACGCAGGTTACTACATGTCACGACATAAAAGTTCGGACTTTCGTGTGCAGAGCACGATTTTTGTCGCTTAAATAGACTTAAGTAACTGGATGACAGGAAAACCTTTTTAAATGTAACTCGAAAGTGAGTGAATTCATTTTAGTCACAACGTAAATATGGGTAGGGAATTCGCTTGTGATTTTATGACGATTACCATTCTATCGCGTTCATGTTGCTAAAATTTGCAGTATTTGGTGACGTATGCTTGGCCTTCAACTTAAGAAAACTTGGAACGCTTGCCCAAACTATCATTAGCATTAGTTAGAATGTGGTGGGTTAAAATAAACTAAAAGTGAATGAATCCACTTTAACTCAACTATGTCAACTAATTTGTGCAAGGTAATCAAACGTTGCTACTTGTGAAAATTCACTCGCAGTTAATGCGTCCCATGATCCAAAAGGGACACTCGGTCGGTTGATAAATAACTCGCCGTACAACAGCATTCAGCAGTAGGCCAAGCAGCTTGCAGACACTCAGAGCCGACTGGAAATCTCAACACTCCAAAATGTCGAGCGTAGTGTATGTACAAGACTTGTGCAAGTTGGATTCACTCCCAGTGTCTGAAAATACTATCCGGCGTTATGCCCGATTGCGAGACGGTATTAGCACAGCAGTCAATCAAATGCCTTCGCGGACTCTGACCGGCCAGTCGGGCCATCTTGAGGTAAATCCTGAGTCGTATTAACTTAGTTGCGTAAACAGCGTAATCACATATCTAGAAATTGCTGCATGTCTGAAATAGGTACATGCCTTTTGGGGAATGGACGTGGAGCGGCTACGCACTTTCTGGTTGAAAGTTAAGTTTGTGGAAGTGTATGAATCTTATGAGTCAGACTCAGTTATTAATTTACTTCCTATAGACGCATGGTTTTTGCACTTGGTTTTCAACAAGATTAAAACGCAATTTCGAGAGGAACATCAAATGAAAGATATCAAGAGGTATAAAGGCGACCAATTTATTTCACTGGGATAATCACCGAGATAATCAATCAATGGCAATGAAAGATAAGAGAAAGTAGAGATCGAAACAAAATATACATACGTGCGCTTATTCGGGGCAGTGCGTAGGGTTGATAAAGTGAGTTAAAGGGGCTCGAGTGTGAATGCATAAATACAAAAATACATATGCACAGGAAAGGGATGGAACGGCCTGGGCATGCGTATGTGTGTACGGAGATGCATTCATAGCCACCTTTGCAATGTCCCAACAACGAAGAAAGCAGCCAAATTAGGAGAAAAGGTGGAGGTGCCCGCGGTAGTTCGGAGATAGGGAGGGACAGACATGTGCACCACGCCGTCCCCCTCAGGGACCCATATTTGATCCGGGATGTCCACTTTACCACCGCCCACAACCAGCCCCGAGTCCGTCTGCTGCGGTGGCAGCGGCTGAGGCGACCGGGAAGGTTTCCAGTCTGGTGACGGTTTGACACTCCAATTTGGACCAAGAGGGTCACTACCAGATCCCTCAGGGGAATCCGGTTCCGTGTCCCAGTGAATAGGGGGCACAACAGGAGCTGAATCGTACGGAGGTTGGGGTTGTCTAGGCCACGAAGGTTGAGTTGGCTCAGGGTAGCCGTAGACGCCCATCGGCTCGTAGCCTGAATTCTAAACGAAGGAGGAGGTCATACTCGTGATCAATTGAATATTTATTTTATCCTCGAGTTCACGAGAGTAGGATACATCACGTGTATTTCTCATTTGGGTAGTCAAGAACTAATTCGACGCTTACAACGAGAAGGGTGAACCAGTTAGTTATCTATTTATTAGTCATCTTTAAAAACCTAGTGAGCAACCCCCAAAAAAACTATGAATTCACAATCAATTGTGCATATTTTTAGCACCATTCGAGAAATGAGCATGGCAACAAAATACCCCTACTTAATGGGGAACAAACATCAACCAAAAGATAAAATACGCTGCAGATTGCTGCCACGATCTATGACCCACAAGTGAGTGGCCGTACTCCCTCGTACTCAGGCTTATTATTAGCCGTAAATATGTGGTTATTTTCCAGTTAGCCGATCTTGAAGTAGAATTAGAGCCTCCATGATACTTATAACCGTTTCACAACTTTACAAGGATTTACGAGGAACAGACAAACGTTAAGGCGAACATACTCATGGTGCAGTTGAGTTACAACCCACTGAAAATTAGCTGCAATTACTACAACCTGGGTGTGTAATAGATCCGAAAGAAATTACAGTGTCCTGAAACCAGGTCAAAATGGACTAGCTTATACCTCCGTCTGTTGTCGAAAATCCTCGTCATCGGGTACATAGCTTCGTGGCGGTTGTGGCGGTGCCCCATTGGAACCTGGCGGCTGTTCAGGGTGGATAACCGGGTTGTTGAAATCATCCTCTTTTTTGTAGCCCATCGGCGGGGAGTAGGGACTAACGTAGGGCAAAGGCACATCACCGTAGCCACTGCCTGCTTCGGTGTCTGACGCAAAGGCAGCAGCCGCAGACGGTGGTTGCTGATCCTCCCAGAGGGAGAGCGAGGGATCGCCTTGACCGCCAAGAGAATTCTGGGGGAGGAAATTTCAACACTATTCAGAGGTCCGCACAGCAGGCTGCAGACTTGATTTATGCAATTTGAAAGACCAGAAGCAACCTAACTGGTCAGTCGATAATGCAATGACAGAATAAGCCACAGCCTGCAAGACCAATCAGAGCACATCGGGATCTAAAAAGAATAGTATTTTCGACACACTGACTAATCACACTCTGCTGCCAACCATCGATTAGATTCTGCTCACGTCAAAATTGAGTCGCTGATTGGAAGATGAGTTAGATTTTGACATATGTCTACCCAATAAATGGCAAACTGATATTTTCTGAAGGGATGAAAAGACTTAAGGTCAAGTGACTATTTGGGTCGCAAAATTACATCCATTTGAAAATAATTGGACAACTCATAAATGCATGGGTGATGCACTGCACCAATCAGAATTGGTGTGATGGGCATTAGCAAGGCTCGCAGTGGGGCCGAGACACGAAAGATGACTCTCAGCCTTCAAGAGCAAAAAAAACGTTTATCAAACCCGATGTAGCAAAATGACAGAAGTTTAAACTACTTGTAATTCGAAAAGCTGAAATTAATAAACCAGATATTGTGATAAAAGAGAGGTTATTTTGAAGCAAATTTACTTTGCTTTCGCACCATGAACGTATGCTCTAGAGGAACGATCAACCCTTCACCAGTAAACGCACGTTTACCATCACCTATCAACACCTGATGGGCGTGCTCGCATCAGGAATGCAAGTGGGGGTGAACAACTATCCCGACAGGACCACCAAACTCTAGGGAAGGTCTTATTTCGGCGAAGAGCCTTGTTCACACTTCTTTTACAAACTAACAAACGACGATGACAATTCTGTACCTACAGCATGGCTCGGGGTTCACACAATACAAATCTGCACCCTGTTGGGATTTTGGTGCATTATGCCGATTTAGATTTTGCTGCTAATGAGGTAACTCAATTCACCCCATCATGGTAGAGTTCTTTTGGTGTAGAACATTCCGAGGTCAGATTAAACTGCAAAGGAAGGGAAGCAAGCGGGCACTTTAAACGCCCCTTTATGCGGAATTTGGCAGCAGTTCTGGCAAACCATGTAAAAATCGCCTAAGAGAGCGCCTACGTCTAGAGGGTGGACCTGTTCAATTAACAATGATCAAGTGTTTCATGTGAAAACTTTTTTCTAGAAACAATCAAGTGGCAAATTTGTAAAAGAAAACAATGGTCGAAATGTGTACATGTTCCTGTACAACAACGAAAACCCAACTAAAAAAAACAGTTTGTGTAAATTTACCAGATACATTCCTTAGAGGTGTCCCAACCTAAGCCGCACATCGTCTAAAAAGAATGGATTTATGGGAGGTAAAAGTGCCTACAAGAAAACTCTTTCCAGTTGGTCGAATATACCAACTAGAAAGCGGAAAACTGCCGCTCACATGAACAGGTAAACAGCTCTAAGTAAGGAAGTAAACAATCGCATTGAACGACATGCCCAACACAGTGCAGGATGCGATTCAGCTGAGAAGGAAAGTGCGCTGAAATTCCATACCTCATTACTGTTCGGTGAGGTGGGGGAGGTTAAATAACTCCTCAGTGCCTCCTCATCAGAGTCGACAGGCATGTCGTTGCGTCCAACTTTAAGAACGGTTGCGGCAGGATCGGCCAGAGGCAGAATGTCGGGGTCGACCTGTGTCACCCGACCCAAGATTTCGAAGTTCTGGATGGCCTTTCGGAGTCCGAGTTCCTTTTCATAAAGTGTAGGATCCGTGAAGTAGACATCAATGGTCTTAGGCTCAACTGATCTTGAGGTACTAGATAGAGAAAAACCGAGGAAATACTCAAATGGTACCAGGGAAAGGTAATCAGCTAGAGAAATAAACAAGAAGGGTTAAATACGGAGGAGTTTTGAATTTCTGTGTCGCATTATGAAGCCCCTGACGGTACAAACGAGACACGGAAAAAAGTAAGCACACACTCCCAGCTGGAGGATACGATAAAACGAATACAAACTGTGGTTAACTCTGAACTTGGGTTCCCTATAGATTAATTGAGGGTTTTAACAATTTGATCGGTTTAAGCCATAATGCTACACAAAACAGCCCTTTCAGTTTTTGAAAAGCCATCCGAGCCATAGGAGATCGCACATTTCTTGAAGGGGAACAGATCGATACGAGGAACTGCAATCTGGCGCATTGAGCCTCAACGGTGCTGATGACAACTGCAAGGTGACATTCAGTGGACGTTTGGGTGTGCGTGTTCAAACATGCAAGTCCTACGCGGGCAACTAAGGTGAAGCGACAGCGCACGCGCCGCGTTAATGCCATTCGCGAGTGGGTTTGCGGGGGGTAAAGCTAGACGGAAAGCAGAAGTGGCATAAAACCCACTTAAGTACAGTTGTCTAATGGTGCAGGGTCTGCGCTAAATGAGGGATGTTTGACGTGACCTTCTGACAAATCTACAGCAAATTTCCACGACTTATCAAGACGGCACGAGACTAAGCAATATCTCGCTGGAACACGATTTCTCTAAAACTTGCGCATGATGGCAGTAAGCCTTTGATTGCTTCCTCCAGGTTAATTATTTGTTGACTGTAAGCATCTGAATTGGTCGTTTGGTATCTTAGAATCAGCTCAACATACACGACATTTCTATATTTCCACTAATTGACAGCATAGGATTTCGTGGTGTAATACATCTTTCGATGAGGTTAGTGCTGATTAACCATACCTGGACCATGATCGTTTTCAACTTATTGTTTACGACCTATTTTTCCTTGCCAGTATTGAGTCATTTCAAACTAGAGAAGATGTCCTTCAACTTGCTGAGGCAAGATGAGTGTCGAAATAGCTAGGGCAGAAGTAAGACGGAGAGAGTGTGAGAGAGTGACTCAGCCGTTTGTTGGATGTCTCAACCCAGTTGTGTTTGCATCGCGCCAATGTGCACAAAGTCATGTGTGACTAATGGAGGTGGTTGACCAATGGAGTTCGAGTGAACTAGTACAAGTGCAGGACAGAATGGACGGATGAGTAGTATGCGTGGCAGGGAAGGTAAACGCACAGGTGTGCGTGTGAATAGACGTGTCCGCATGGGGATGTGACTGGGGGCGCTGTGAAAAGGAGGGCGGCGTGGCTGAGAGCGCGACGACCGATTTAGTGAACGTGAACCAACAGAATTCACCACAGCTCACCCACGTAGCGAACAGAATCGGCAAAACCTTTCTTCCAACGAGAACACTGAAAGGCAGGCCGTGGATCGGGTGAAGTTGAGATTTAGCCATCAAAAAGGTCGTGTTGAAAAGGTTGGGAAACTGATGAGTGATACAAAGGGAGGCAGGAGAACACGTGTCCTAAGTGAAGTGAACCAGGCGGAAATGGAAAGACGAGACCAAGTCAAGCCAAGTGAGATCTGAGACGAGGTCAGATTGATTCAACCGAAACTTCAATAACCTTCGAGCGAAAAGTCCCCAGAACGAAATTTTCTAAATCAAATCTGACACGTGAGTTCTGTTAAGCGATCAACCCCATAACATCCACACATTTTCTTGAACCTCGGAAGTCTCCTTGCCATTGTAGACAAATAATGCAAAGTATATCAAAAATGCTTGCCTTGTTCTGCATGTTAAAATTGACCCTGAAAAAAACAAGTGCAAATAAAAGCACGCAGAATTATTTTTCCAGGTGTGTGCAACATTTAAAAAGTTGTGGTTCTGTACATTTACTCCTTTTTTTATTACTCGACACTTCAAATTGCATTTATTTGGCAAGCAGTGCTTCGAACCAGAATAACCGTTCCGCTAATCGAGCGCTAACAGCTCTTCAAGGAAGAGACTTTCAACCAATGCACAAGTTCGGCATAAATAAGTCGTAATACTGAAATGACTGTAAGTAGAAACGTCAGCCTTCTACGTACTCGCAGCATTTCAGCGCTTGGTCGAAAAGGTGCATCAGATGTTGAAGACGAAGTGCCCGCTTGGAAAAAAAGACGCCAAATGCCAGTTAATGCTTTTTGTAAGTAAATGGCTATTATCGACCAACGACTGAAAAGACACAAAACGCAGCGTTAATGGAAAGGTAGAGCACAGAAGAAGAGAGAGAAGCGTTTCAGAAATGCTTGGCTGATTACCCACGAGCCAGTTACTGCATCAAAAACGGGAAATTATATGAGAAATCTCGTACTCGGTGTATCCAGATTAACTTATTTGAAAAAACCCACCAGCCTCAAATTAACCCTAGTACCCTGATAGTGTACACGTTAGTTACAGACGTAGGGAATGACATTGTTTTACGTAAGTTTACTTGGCTCGAGTAGGCTTACTCTAACCTCGACTACGACTACGACGGGCTACAACTTAAGAATTCTTGCACATAATCCGAGGAATAAAAGACCTTCCGGGTTTAAAGGCGGCCCTGGCGTGGTTTTTGGGCACTGGAAAGGCAAGGTCACACCAACATACGAGGTTATTGAAACGAACAAGAGCTAAACGAATAGACGAAACCTTATGAGGAAGGAACAAGGATCCACCTTTTTTTGAAAATCCATACCCAGATTTAGCACGCAGTGTTAATTAAAATTCACAATGGAATCCCTCAAGACATGGGCAATGACTTTTTCACCCGTCAATACTTATTGATATCATACTCATCCTATTCATTGGTGGTACCTTCCACCGCAGCGGCTAAAGTTATGCAAAAACAACCGAGAAAATTTCAGTTTTCTTGGTAAGAGAATTCAGCCGTCAAATTAACACTGAGTTAAGCCATAAATTTTGATGTAGTGGCTTGTCAACGGAGGCTCGTAAACAGATATTAGTCTGTACTGGTTTGAGTGAAGAGAGTTAGCATTCACGACTCCCCTAACCGACTAGCTTCTACCTTATTAGTTGTCCTCTGGCACTAATGGTGGTGGTAGCGGAGAGCAGTGACGCTGGGTGGCTGCTGATTGCCACACTGGTGCCGTCAGTAAATAAAGGAAGTGGAAGTTGAGATAGGACCCGGAGTTAGACCGGTTGACTACAAATAAGGGCACAGCTGAGCTAACTTTGAATTTGACGCGGTTGAAATACGCGTCCTTCCTGCTACATGCATTGCCTCGAAACAAGGAGGCAAGGGCAAGGTAAGCAAGCAGGCTTGAATCGTCTCAACTTTGCCGGGAAAATCGAGGAGGCCAAATATTGCGTTAGTGATCGAAGATACAAAAAGAGCTACCGAAGAGGCATGTGGAAACATAGCGGAAATTCAATTGTTAAGATGTGCAGCAGATTCAAGGCACCCGAAGACTTGAAATTTTCTCTGTTTAAGAACCACAACAAAAAAGTGGGTCAACCACTTTCAACTTCAATAAATTGCACAAAAAAATTCACCTTAAAAGGGTGTTAGGGGTGACGACAATTGAACTCGGTTCCACACCACGTAGAACAATATGCGCGGTGGGCAGCAATTTAAAAATCAGAGCATACAAATGATACAAGGTGACAAGGCATGAGAAGTTACTTTGTCGGTTCGAGGAGCCAAACGATGGTGTCCCTTTAGCCACCAAGCGTCAGTTCTAATAGGAATGACGTCTGTGAAGGGAAATGGTGTCTAACGAAGGCGGCCGATTTTGCAATCGACTTCGAGGTAAAACACGCTGAGGCAACAGCATGGGCCTTCAAGTCAGCTTGATCGTTTAGTTCGGCCGAATTCAGACAATTTAGTAGCCTAAGAGAGAACTCAGTAGAAGGTGTGTGTGTGTGTGCAAGGGTGCCGACTGCGTCCGCGTGACGCAGAGCTCCACTCCTGACAAATGACCAATCAAGGCACTTGAGGGTAATTTAATTGCACACTGGAATCAAGAAAATGAGTTGACTGAAAGGGTCGTGAGTTAAGTAATCATTGCACTTGGACATACAGGGGTTATGCTTGTACAAAGGGCACTTTTATCCCGAACTTTCAGTTCAATAAAATTCCACAACATACACCTCAACGTTTACTTCGGAAACTGGTTTTAAATTTATTAAAACAGGAAAACTAGATTAGCACATAGTGCAACCGGTTTAATATTTAAAACCTTGTTAGCTTTCGGTTTAACACGAATTAAAAGGCACATCTTGATTGCTAACTTGGCCGTTAATCTTGGAGATTAAGAAAGTGAACATTTCCTCATGTCACCAGGTTCCAGATGGTCGAGATTAGGGAACAACTGTTAATGTGTAGCGGGAATGCATCTAGTGTGTGTAAAGGAAAAAAATAACGAGCCACCAACTGTTAAAAGTACAATTGTTTAGAAGGCCATCCAAAGTGGCCACACATCAGCCAGAATCCTTGCTAATCAGGGGCATTCAGTAATGCCGCATGACATCCAACTGTTCAGTGCTACTTTATGGAGGAGCAGTTTGGGGCCAAATGAACTACCGACCATGGGTAAATACGCACGAAGAATTTGGCGCATAAACCAAAGCACCCCGATCACCATGATTCTTCTACGCAGGTGAAACAAATGATAAGAGGAAGGACATATGGATTAGCCCCATCTCACCTGAGATTCCCATCATTTCTAAAGATATTCGGCGTAGTGGGCAATGGAGGCCATGTCATGCCTCACCACCAATTTTCCCGAAAGGACTTAAAGCCAAGTAAAAATTCCAACGGCGAGGCGTCAGGAATGCACGCGAAACCTTAAGTTTAATAAATGATTAAGAAGCCGTACGCGTTCCAATAAAATGCTGTTTCACTCACACAGCGCACACAAATCGACAGCAGTTGTGGCCGTAGCTCTACGATCGAATCGCCTTGGAAACCTGGATAACTAAATCGCGGGACTAAAAAACCCTCTAGGGCGGTTATCCTGGGTCATTGATTTCTCTTTCTTACTTTCGGAAGTCGAGTTATCCTGCTTAGTGTGTATTGATGAACTTGAGCAAAACTGACCGCTGATGATTAGTCGAACGTCGGCAAAAAAAACCCCTTTAAGCTACACGAATTCGGGCCACTGCATTATGACCATCAATGTTGGTGCAAATGTGTCCTGAAAATAACAATTTCGCCTTCTTTGAGGTGAAAAACATGTACAAACCAGGACCGCAATCTATCACAATCGATTTGTTAGAAGGCAAGGAAGATGTTATTTGACGGTAAACATAAAGGTAGGCACAAATTTCCATCAAAGTTAAGATAGTGGAGGCATTCTCAAGTCTGATAAAATGTATACTTTCACCTAATGGAGTCTGCAGATTTTGGCATAAAAGTGTATTTGAACTGTCCCTGTCCTTGGAAATTTAAAACACAAAGGCAGAATATAAGTGGCACTTTGTCAAACTCCAAAGTCTCATTCGTTTGGATAAAAATTTAATCACCAAAGGGCGTGGCAGAAGGAAAACTCACGTAGAATCCAGTGAAGTTCCGTTCCAGCAAGTGTTTGAAGTTGAGCGATAGGCGGTGGGTGGCGGTCCATTTCGCTTAGCATTGCACAGTTCAGAGCCCATGTTATCGAACAAGTAGGACATCTGATTGTACTGCAAAACAACCAAACACTAGATGTGAAATTTGGCCAAAATATAAAACTAGTAAGATGATGTTTACTGACGGGCAAATAGTTTTAGAAACCTATAATGAGGAAATAGGGTCTACTTGTCCGCTGCTTTGAAACTGTAGCGGATTAACAGCGATCGCGCCTGAGTAAACCCTGGTTACCGACCTGACGGTGACAATGACTCATCCCCTTCTCATTGGTTACTGTATCAGATGCCTGTCATCCGTTCACTCATCCACACACTAAGACACACGTGGCTGGCTTGACGCTAATAAACGGTCGTGTTCACTGTCGCCTCTCTTCTCTCCATTCTCGGGTTGTTACGGGTCGTTAACTAGAGGGTTGTAAGGAAGTGCTTCGACCACAAGCCACTGCAAAACATTGTGTCCTCGATTAGAGCGGGTGAAAGAAGTCGGTGAAGCGTTCCGGCCAAAACGGAGTTAAAGTCTTTCCTGATCTTTATCGTGATCGTCAAACAAGAAAGACACTTGGCAATAAATTATTGCTCTTGATGCCTACTAACATAAAGTTTGCTCGTAAGAAACGGTCCTGGCAGCTAACAGCAAGAGTTTTAACTTTGCGCGACTCCGAGGTCAGATCTTGAAGCCCCAGGTAGAGCCAACATGCGCCCTGGAAAGTGCTCTGACCTATTTTGTCACAGTTGCAAAGTAACAATGTTGGAAATCCCATGGAGCGACTAGCAGATTAAGTGCGGAAACTGCGTAAAAGGCGATGCCCAGATCCGTTTGGTTCTTATCAATTTTTAACGAATCCGGAAAGAGAGTTTATCATTTATGACGAACTCCATCACACGCAAGGAGTATTTCATTTTGATGGTTTTGTGGTGAAACGAGTTTTGTAAATATGGCAACGCATCTACAAGTGTTGGCGGGATGTCAAACTGGTATGGCCTTTGGCGTTACCACAGTGAAAGTCACCATCGCAGTGATTTGCCAGCTTCGGAAAGCCTCCGTTAGGTGACACCACTTAATTTGTTCATTTTAAAGGCTTTAAAATGAGTATTAGCTTTGATCTCGCCTCAAACAGGCAATACGAACATTGGACAGCAAATAGAATTAATGCACTGGCCACAGGAACATTTCTGTCCGATTTGATTGTGAGTGATTCCATTTACGCATCCTCGCCCGGCACCCCTTAACATGACTCTCAACGGTGAAATCACTCTCTTAGCGTGTCAAAAAGTAGCAGCCACCATCACGGTAGTTGGGATGACTCAATTTGTCCATAGGAGGACCACCTTTGAAACGTGACACTCTCAGGTGGGTGTTAAGAACACAAACGAGCAACGGCAATGCAAGACAACAAACTACTCCAAAATTGATCTGGCAACTGGAGTTACCTTTGTACCAGTTACACTACAAACTTTAACTCCACTTCGAAGACAATGAAAGAGCCCCAACTATAAGAGTGGGGACAAAAAACAGCAGACAAATGTACTACATACGAGCCTGCTCTATTCCGAAACCTGGCTCAGTGTGCTGAAACAGGCGCAGCACATCGACATTCCCAAACAGTTTAGCAGTAGACCCAGCTGCATTAAGGGACAAATCCGGGCCTTATGTGACGGCAAAGTGTGTCTGCGGGTACGGGGAATTCCAACTAGTAAATCAAATTAAAATGAAATATTAATTAATTTAGACATTCACACGCACACCACAAGGTTAAATCAGGCTTCACTGAGATCGGGCGGATAACCGGTGCCCAGTGAACTGGCAGCACGCTCACCTATTCGTGCAAATACCAGGGAGCGAAAGAAGGGGGGTTGCCAAGGCAAAGACGTCTAATAACTGCGGAGAAAACTACCAGATGTCGGTAGCATTTAAAAAACCCCAGAGTTAGCTGACATCGAATCGGTTTGAATTAATGAATAATATTTAAAAGCATTCTAAATCCAACTTGGCACCCCTCATTTCGTAGGCCATTGAAAAAATTTGCTCTTTTAATAAACAATTGATTAATAAAGGAATCTCCATGGTAGAGAAGCGTTTGGAGGTTCGATGTTCATTTCCGGGGGTTCAACTCGAAAAAACCTGAAGATAAATTTAAAAAATAAAGGCATCTAGAGGTAGTGGGATATAACTAGGAATGGCGTTAATCTGCTGACATGTGTTTCTAATTGAAAACAAACGTAATAGCAAATACCACAAGGATTAATACCTGGAATGTTTGAGTCCACCTGCTTGTGAAGCGACAGATAGAAGTAAAGTACATTTCAGGAAATATCCCATAATTTATAATTTACACAGGCAAGGGACATCCCGATTGCCCATATACCATTCACTAATTAATACGAAGCAGGAGGTAAAGTGATAAGAATGAAACACCTATCTGGCAAGAACTAATATTAATAATGTTAGGAATTCGCTACATACGATGGTTAGCCATATGCATGAGTGAAACACGGAGCGAATCTCACCGGCATGTAGCACAGCGAGTTGAGACAGGGCAAAATAAACATAACCAAAGTCGCACTCGCGTAAACGCTGACATTTGACTTGGGGGAGGGCGGGGGAAGGGGAGGGGAGCCATGTGTTTTAGTTGCCAGGGCGATGCTCTGCCCGATGGTCAGCCCAGGACCATCAACAATGCATTCTTCACTTGGGTTCCCGAAGGCCTCCACAGTGACTTTGGTGTAGAAAATCGTCCAACACAATGCAAGGAAGACATCCAAGCAAAGGACAAGTTGGTACTGGCTTCAAATAGAACACATGTGAGGAGTGTTACCGAAAAAGCAAAGGCTCACAAAGTTAGAGGAGTGTTGACCTACATTACAACCCTCCCAGTTTACCACCCAAAGAGCCCGAGAAAAAAAGGGCGACAGGTGATGGCCTGCAACCGATTGCTCAAATCAAACACGACCATAATATGCGTAATGAAATGTGAAAGTTGCCACCCACCTACTCAGTAGCAATGATTACTCAGTCACAACAGCCAAAAGACAAAACCCCCTAAAACAATCATTAAACCTTCCCTGAAGAGAAGGCCATAGTTTACATGACCAGATTGCAAGTTGCCTGTATTAGCACAGGACGAGCAGATGTAGAAACAGGTAGACGCAACGGCAAGCGCGTTCGGCGCTCCAAAAAACATGTGGGAACGAAAAGCCATACTGCAGGTTATCAGAGGACAAGCGCCATGGTAAATGGGGTTGCTCGGGGCTGTGCACGAAAGAAAACCCCATAATCGGCATAAGACCAGTGGGCGTAAACATGCGCGTTATTTATGGAAGGAAATAATAGAACGTGTTCTTCAGATGAGAAGATACGTTTAGAAATCAAGTTAATATGATAGTGGATTTTTTAATGTATTTTCAGACCAGACTTGCAGTAGGTAAATGTAGGCCCAGAAAACTGTCCTAAAATGTGTTTATCGAAGGTCTTTTAACAAAAGCAGACCCATAAACGGGCAGAACAATGAAGAAAAAAAAATGCTTTTTTGGTGACAGAATCAAGTACTACAAGTACAAGAATAGTCAAGCATACCGAGACCTAGGGAAGAATACTTCAACCAAGAAAAGGCGAAAAAGTGACTCGGTATGCGTCCACAGACCCCTCTAATGCAAGCAATCATTCACGAACAAATTAACTTTAATAATGCCTCCGGTTAGAGAACACTGAAATTGTTTTTTTTGTGTGTGTTTGATTAGGACAAGGTTGTACAAAGTGTGCCTGCCTTATACGCTGATTAATGGTGAAGGTGGGGGGGGGGCATTTGCATGTATCATGCCAGGCAAAAAGAGAAGGCAAAAGAACAGTCCGAGTAACATCTCTGAGGTGTTTTTGCAGACAATTCCCCCAATTTTTATAAGGATGGGGGGAAGAGTGTTACCTAAATCGTTGAACTCCAAAGATAGCAAGGTTGAGAGGAGGGCGATAGCAGTGTTGCAGGCACGTAGTTGTCAGCGTGCCCAAGCTGGAATTCCACTCATCCACTCATGCATTACCAGTGGTCATTTGACGCCACAATAGTTGGTGAGGAAAGCATGTTTATGTATATGGAATGATACAAACCCAAAAACTGAAAAAGCTGTCTGGCGCCACAATTGGCTCCGATATAAACTCGTGGCCAAGGTCGTAAGATCAGAATTTGGAGGTGTCTGATGTAAAAGAGCTTGGGTAACGCAAACACTTAAGGTGGGCCAATTGTGGGGATTAATAGCAGCAAAACCATACTTATTAAAGTGCGGGTTACTTTTAACTAAGCCGCATAACATTTCCCCGTGTCGTTTACAGGTAAATCATACAGCTAATGTGCGATTTCAGTGATAAATAACTCCACATTCCTCCTGTTTTCTTGGCCGTCTTAGCAGCTGGAACTGGCGGCGCGCATGCCGAGTTGCCCGGTACACCATTTACCATGAACTGGCACTACGAGTCCTCGAAGAAATAATGCAACCTCGTCCAATTGACGGACTTTCGTTACAACCGGCGTTGCTTCAAGTGCCCCTTCGTCGAGGTGGGCGAGCGCCGCACACACAAACGCGCGCATTAAAGTGCGTTAACACACGACACAAGGTGTCGTAAATCAACTGTCACCCCAAGCTCCCGTCTGCGTTGGAAGATCGGCAAAACTGGGTCTGATTATAGATGCATGATTGTCGAAGGTTAATACCAGACACTTTTCCCAGACCATAGGTGATAAATAGAAAACGACAATTTCCTGGCGTTGGAATTGGGGGAAAAGGTTGAAGCTTGGGTGGATAAAAAGTTAATGTTGCTGCCAAAGGGTAGTTACAAGGCAATGTGGTAGGGAAACCAACAGGTTCTCAGGTCTTCTCAAAACTAACTGGCTTTGCATATAACAATTTGAGGTTGACACCGTGTAGCGTGCAGCCTTCCATAGGTTACGAGATGAATCTGGGTGCCCGTGGGTTTAAAATTGAGTGATAAGGAACCCTAAAAACACTAGATGAGGGTTAAAACAGCCGCCCACAATCAAGACTAATGGCCAGATACGGCAAGTGAAAGCAGGAGCCGTCACCAAGATTCACTGGTTAATTAGAGACCGCCTAGCGTCGCCTTCCAACACGAAGGCTGACCTCCACTCTTGGAAAAGCAACTTTTTAATGCATGAACGGCAATGAGCAAAGCGCGTGTGCGCGTAGTGAAGGTTTTGAAAGGTAGTTAATTGGTCCTTAAGGTGAATGGCAACAAGCGGTAGCATTAAATTTGACAGTAGGATTGGTAGGCAAAAGAAGATGCAGTGAGGCACGGTGGGCATATTAATTAGGCCTTATTTCGATTTCAGCCCATGCAGCCGTAGGGACACACAGAACAAATGAACATAGAATTGGTTAAAAAGTGAAGTGTAATGCGATTCACAGAACTGATACAAGCCTAAAAACCTTTCACAGGAAATCATACCTCAAGCGGATTGTTCACAAAGCAATCGTCCTACAAGCTAGGACTGCCTCCTTCCTTGGGCCATTAAAGGAAGAATTTGAAAATGGAAAAGGTGGAAGCAAGGCATTAGCCCCTCCTAGAGATGGCGTCAAACCGGTTAAGATAGTCAGGGACAGGAAAGTGATCGGCGTTTCGTTGCGTCTCAAAGGAGGTGATACCAGACAGCATTTGCCGTCGTCAAGGACCCGCTATTCGTCAAAGTGACACAGCAATGTAGACAAGCGCACTCATATCATGGACTACGTGCGAAAATCGAAATGGACAGAGCAACTCAAGCCTTAGCATGATCAAAACTTAAGTGACCGCTAAGCCGCCGAAGTGACAGCTTACAGCATCCGATCTCACTCGAAGTGCAATTACTTTGCACTACATCTTCCGTCAGTTTTGGACAACAAAAAAAAATAATCTAGTTAAGGTTTAATGTGAATAGCTAGAAAACACTGGTCCTAATGATTCAGTTTATTTTAATGACTTGAGTAGAAGTCCTTTCGCATTTGGTCTGCGCTTCCTCTATTTTTCTTTAGAAATATACAATACTTTGAAAGCTAACGCATCATCAAAAGACGGCTCGAAAAGGTCTAAAAGTAAAGTTTCAAGCTCCGGAAGTTGGTGGGGCCTTCCTTTAAAAGGCAGCAATGTCTATTTGAGAATGGTTTTGAAATAACAGTAGCGTTTTGGTAATTCCATAGTCAAAAAACAAAAGTAAGTTAGGAATATTTAATGACACAAACGAAAATGGTGCAGCGTATTCGGTAGAGTGAGAGAAATGGCTTTAAATGAAAACCTTCGAGAATTTCTTGATGTGCTTTGCAAGTTAAACACATAAGAGGTGAGAAGCATTTGCATGATAAGGACCCGACCTCCTGTTGTTAGGGAATTTCAAAGCGAAGCTTTTACGAGATCAGTTGAGCCATAGAACCTTCGCCAGTTCCAAAGTCCAGGACTTTATTCTAAGAGAATCACACGTTCCATTTCTGATCACTAACCTACTCATTTTACAGATATTTGATGTGAAGTTCTTTTTGGAACACTCCCGAAAAGAGTTAGCCTGCGAACACTTTTTACAGACACGCACCCCGTCGGAGGCCAGTTGCAGGGTTTTTAAAGTGAACAATGGCATACGTAGGGTCCGTTTTTACTGGTACATTTTCGGAGAAGAAGAAGACATTCCCAACTTCCAACTGAAAATGGAAGAAGTGATCGAATTTCGGTTTTATTTACAAACGCGGACATTTATAGTAAACATTAGTCGGACTGATCACGAACAGACCAATGCGATCCACAACAGTGTTTCGTTAAAATGCTTGTTTTATGTTCACAAACGCTACGTGTTTGATCGGTATAAGGGGATTACGACCAAGGTGGCATAATTTATTCAGAACTGACTGCATGGTTGGGTGTCATTCCGTGGCCTAACAGATCTTGGCGAAAAATCAGTCGATTCGAGACAGGTGCAAACATTGGGGAAACTTCAGAAAGCCCAACAATTGAATTAGGCTAACACATGGGTGTCAGTCAAGAGTTTTGGTGAAGTGGAGACAGTAACCCAGCCGGTTAAGACTGCGGAGCCACAAATGCCCGAAAAAACGCCACGCAGACGCATAACGAATCAAGGAAGCATCAATGCATGGCGGTCACGATGCCACAACGCGCGTCTTCTTACCTGCAGTGACAGACTACAAGGCAGTGCGAAAGAACAGGAGGGACGGGAGAGGAGAGAAGAACCTGCTTGGCACTACAAGCCCATTACGTCACTCAGACGATGTAGTTGTGAATGTGACAGAAGTGATAAAAGCAGTCAACAAACTTGTCATGAATCACGCTAGCTGAAATCAAAAATGCGAAATTTTGAACTGCATCTGTTGGGAAAAACGACAACTCAAAGCCTGGGAATAAATAAACTACTTGCTAGTGAAATATAGGTTGCTTAAAAATAAACTAAGTGTTTGGATATTTCATTGTGACACGTTAGACTCCTTTCTTCAGTGATTTGGCTGCGGACCAATACCAAATAAATAAATCAGAGTGCATCAAGTGGACAGATTAGCAAAATCGAAGGCGTAGAAAGTAACGTGTTTGCGTGCATTCTCAAAACCAGACATTGAAACAAGGAAACATGTCAAGCAAGAGTTCAGAGTGACTAGACTTCGGTGACTGATCTTGGAATCCCTCCGTTTGGTTAGTCATCACATTTACAAATTCGGCGTGTTGCTAACCCAAGGAGTAGTTATTGGAGTCTCGCAGAAACAAAGACCACTTAGCATCCCAGACAAGGCGATGGCTGCCAGTGTGGAGGCCACATGATTGACGAAATCAGGCTGTCAAAATGGTGACATACACCACATTCTGATGGAGTTCGTGGTGGCTTTGACGGTCAAACCCCCACTGTCCTGACAAGATTTGGATGATGAAGTTGCAAAGAACAGTACTTTGAGACAAACTGTTAACAAAATGTGGGGGACGCAAATGCGGCCAAAAAGGCACAGAATCGATTCGTTTTACCTCTGCACAACTGCAGCAACTCGGTCACACGAGCGGCGCCTGCTTACGCAAGGAGTCCTGGACGTGAAGAGAAAGCGGGATCCAGATGAGCAGAAACAGCAGCGTTGGAGCACCAGATTTCAATGAAAATTGTACAGGATGAGAAGGCATTGTGGCGGAAGATAATTCATATAGTGCTCAGTTCACGGAATTTTATCAAAAGCCGGCAAATATTCAGTTGTATTAGGACAGTACTCAAGATATTTAAATATTAAGACGAGATTGAGAAGCACTGTAACCCGAGACGAGCATCAGGCGGGCTGCTCAATACTACGACGGGCCTAAATCATGAGCATTCAACACTAATCCCTTTAGGGTCAGATTTAATGGGAGGTGGTTTACTGTATTTACGACGCCATAACGAATGGTTGAGTCAAACGGCAGCCCAAATTAGGCATGGACCGATGAAAAAGTAGTCCCCGCCCATGATGCAGAATAAGGCAAAGTAGCTGTTGTATGCAGGTGGTTTTGTTAAAAAATTTGGAAAGCACACACGCCCGCAGACACTTTAGCACACGCTTTTCGTAGACCCGAATTGTGGACGAGGTGAAGATTGGGCATGTTGCAGCAAAACGCGAACACACGCTCAGGCAGATAGTGCGATCACACAAACAGGCGCGGCACGTGTGTGTGTGTGTGTGACCAAGAAAACCCAATCTCACATGCACACACGAGAAAGCTCAGGTGTGCTGGTGTCTGATTTCTGCGCATTTGCCCCTTTTGTATAGACATGTAAGAAAACGCGAATTTCACCGAAGGGGAAAAGTATGCTTTGTGGTATTGCCGCTGGTTTGTGCACACGAAAGTGCGTACTTTGCTGGTTAGGTCTGGTAACCACGTGCACGCTAATGACTTAAACTCAAGCTCCGATGTATTCTGCATTTCAGATTAACGGGTTTTTCCTTTAGGTAGCTAAATTTTAGCGAATATACGGAGTAATTCACGTCAGTATAAAACTTGTGTTGGGAATGGAATGCCCAGATATTCACATTCCTGCTAAATTTTCACTGCAGAGAGTAATTCGCAGGCTTCTGCGCAATGGGCCGCCCATCCTCTCGATATCGTAAAATTATACATGTTAAGATAAAACGTCAACCCTCAAAGTCTTTGTTGAGCTTGAAAATGTGTCGATCCATTTTCACTCTCCAGAATCTGATTGCCACGGCCTCTTTAACTGCACAAGTCTTCAACCACGGGAAGGAGAATAAAGTCCATGCAAACAGTCGCAGTTGGCAGGTGGCTACGGACGATGTGCATGCAACTCCAAAATGCAAACGCAGCCTGATGAACGAAAACTTGAACACACTTAGGGTGCGAGTTAAGTCAGGACGTGCTATTACGTTGCTACAGGAATTATGTGGACGTTGACGCAGAGTTTCACCAGTGTTACGCAAGCCAGTGCGTTCGCTTGCTTCTGAGGCTTAACGACGAGAGCCAAGTACGCGCGCCAAAGGGCAGAAAAAATGACAAACTTTTGATAAGACAGTGTTTCTTCAAATGCGCAAATTCCATACAACATAGACAATTGCACTTCTATGAGATCAAATGAAGGTGGCTGCATACACAAAGAGGAAGGAAGAAGAGTTGACAGTCGCTTGCGTCAGTTCTCATTATCAATGCAAGGTCAGAGAATTTTGAGAAATGGAAGAGAGATAAATCTTGAATTTAGCGCATATTGCAGTCAATTAAAAGTATGCACTAAAGCTAGTTGCAATTTCGGTCGCTACTCTGAGGACACGAGTAAAATCCCATTAAAAAGTTAAAGCACACACAGCAAATCGTGTTAGTTCGTACCTAACGTTTCTGCCCAGGCATGTCCTGGCTTATCGATCGCCCTGCGAACCTAACTTCCTACCCACACTCGTGTAATTAATTGGCCACACACACTTAGCCTCTTACCTAACCTGTCACCCGACCTCCCATTGCTCAAGCCATCTCCATCAGATAATGCTGCTCCTACTCACTCTTCACGTCGTAGTATTACAGGATGAATCAGACCACGACGCAAAGGGAGGAGAGAAGCTGTGGACAGGAGCATAGAGATGACAGATCATGCTTGAGATTTGACTGGCTTATTCGTCGGAGTAGATAAACAATAGAATGTCATTAAAGCGAACTTTTGGTTAGCACAAATGACAGCCGAAGCGAAAATTGTTAATCCGGAGACGCGGCTTACACGCATGCCTAGAGAAATAGCAAATTGACCATCTGGGAGGTTCAAGTCAAACACACCAATGCAAAGCGAAAAGCAGCGACATTTTTGACGATTTCATTTGCAGTGAAGAAACGTTGAGATAAAACGATAATGAACATTGAGACAGCATGCAGTAAATAAACGATTCGCCAATTAGTCTGTCCACGTTCACACACGGTAGTCAGAGCTAAGGAGCTTGGTGAAAAGAGAATTGACGTTAGCTGCCTTACACCACTACTGCTACCACAACTGGTCGAGGAACTTGTAACCTTTAGGAGCAAAAAGTAGCGGCTTAAGGGTGTCTACTGTTAGACTCCCCACCCCTCCTCCCCCGCCACCCACTAATCCCAGCGCGCACAAGGGGAAGTAATGCTAAAACTGGGGAAAAAAGACAAGCCACAATCTATCCAAAGTGAGAGTTGATATTTTGTGAACCAGCCAAAAGTGACAGCTGGTGGGGAGGGAAGGGGGGCGGGAGTGACGAAAATCAACGCACTTGCTTATCAAAGACTTCATCCCATGCACACATGTAAACCTATTTTGAGATTAGACACAGTTCAACGAAGTGTCGGGGCTGGTGTTTTCTCAATGAACGGGTTATTTGACGAAATGACAAGTGACCAACCGCCGGGTATATGGATATACGATCATTGGGTACGCTCAAATCCACATGATGACAGATTTCACAACCTATGACATTTGTCGAATTGAAATAGTCGGAATGCATTTTCTTCGGTAAATTATTTAATACTGAAAGTTATTATCTGCGGTCAGATCTTTTTTTTTTGTCTCAAAAATGAGCTGATTTGGTTTGGACAAACATTGCGCACAATTACTCATGCAAGCAAAAACTGACGCACAAATCCTTCGTATGTAGTATATATTCGGACATTGAATAAGCGTTATTCAGTAAATCAGTTTTAAATGAACCAAGCAACATCCTGGCATTTATCCCCAAAACAAATATAGCATTAGGAATGCGATAGACAAACTGAAATGTCGACCCATTAATATTTTAACACTTCACCTATGAATCAGGAATTCGTGGAAATGCCACTAGGCTGACGGCACAGCATGCACACGGAGACTGTCTCAAGGTGTTAAACAATTCAATTATTAGTGAAAAGAACTTGATAATTACCAGTAAGCTCATTGAAGTCAATCACGGTTCACACTGATTTTAGTAAGACATACAAAGTTGTCAACTTGAAAGCCTTACTCCCCAAGGCAGCACTACTTGTCCACCACAAAACATGTGTTTTGGCAACAAAATAGTGATCGGGAAAACCTAAACGAAATCTTAGTAAAAGATAACTTTTGGGCGAAATCAGTCGAGGGAACTCATCGATAAGGTACAGAATCTGCTGGTTTTGGCAGTGACCTATTGCCGTTAGAGCTCAATCATGAGAGCCTTAATAAAGCAACACTTGTAGACATAATGCACTTGACCAAATGCTTGTGCGCACGAAGACAACGCTCCCATATGGAAGCACTAAATAAGGGAGTGTACCTCCTCCTAGCACCAAAGCATCCCCTCTACAAGTCCCACCAAACAGTCCTGACTTCAACACCCTACTCCGGAGCAAGGTCACACTTTCAAAAGGTGTCAAGTAAATTTACGGTATCATTTGTACCACCCATTAGGAAAACAATTAGACATTTAACGGAGCCATTCAAGACCCGAGACTTCCTGGGAAATCCTACAGCACTCATCACAAATCAATAACGTATAAAAGTGTGTCACAGAGATCTCAATAAGATATTGCTGGTTTCTAACTATGCAGCTTACACACTACCTGTAAACTTTGAGAATTATTCCTACCTATTTTTACATTATTACACACAATTTTGCATTGTGACCTAAATTCAAATTCACTCGGCAGTTCTGTCTGCGATCACAATGACAGATTTATAAAGCAATACACTTACACGTTGTTTGACTTCACGGACCCACGCCTGGAGCTTCGAGACCCCCTGTTCTGCTAGAGCCACCGATGGTAGCGGCTTTGTCTCGGCGGGGTGTCGAATGTTGCCAGGGGGCTGGTAGACGGAGGGCCTGTAGTAGCTGTCACCTCCGTCTGCTGCACGCGGGGCCTGGCGACGAACACGTCGCGGGCCACTGTAAGGCCACTGGACACCTGCAAGCTTAGGGGTTGGGGCGAAAGAGGAACAGTTGGACAGGATCTAGAATGTTAAACATAGAAGATCATATTTCAATTGAACTCCTGACGAATCTCTTCGCATAAGTTGAGCCAATGTGGGCAATCGTTGGATCCCAGACGTATGCATGTGGGTAAAATCAATCCAACCATCCTCACCAGTAAATTGGCATCCTTCCACTACTTTCACAGATTACTTCGATGCTAGAGAAACAGAAAAAGACTAGCACTCCAAAAACTGAGTCTTGAGGAGTTTAGACATCCGTCTTCATGGCACAAAGACAATAAGAAACTGAATGTATTCATTTTACTGACAAGAGCGCAACAGTAATCTCTGAACAACCAATGCTCCTGTCTAGTTGCCCAGGCAGAGGTAAAATAGACCGAAAACAGATTGAAGTCCCATTTTTTGTTGAAAGTCATGCTGTGACAATGTCAAGGTACATCGAAAACGTTTGTGGACGATGCAGACAAACGATGGCTGAAATGTTCCTTGGTGTTTCTAAATACCAAGGGGCTGAAACTATTTCGAAGAGGACTACAAACAGCCTAAAACAGCCCACTCATCCCATAGCAACTCCACAAAATCACAAACTACACATTTCATGGTTCCAAGTAGAAAGTATCCTTGCACAACAGAAGGCCAAGGCTGGTACAGTCAATTTAAGCGAAATACAAGGCAAATGCCTGGGATTCAGTGGTGTGGTGTTTTGTACACAGAGGCCTTTTGAAATATTCGTGCATCTCTCTGATTAGGGGAGGAACAAGGTCTTTCAAACTGTTGTCAAATTAATAGAACCGCCTGAGGATTCACCTGAATGAATTTTTCGCGGTTAGCTATCTCTACTGACATCTATGAATTCTTCAAAATACTAACAGAAGAAGAACACATGCAGCACATTACGCAAAGCTATCACCAAAAGCGAAAACAGTGATGTACATTGTAATGACGCCGTGAATGCATCGAATCACAAGAAGCAGAAGAACAATCGGTAGTAAGAGGGCACTGCTGGCCAAAATAAAGGATGTTGTTTTTCACTATAACAATGTCAGTCATTCCCCATTCACCATGCTGGCAAAAGTATGAGCTCACGCACTGCTACTGACGCAGGGGACTATAGAAATGCCGAATATATAACCTTTCCAGAATCGGCACCGTATTAAAATCGTTTTCCTCAGAATTTTTTTTGTAAGTCAGCAAAAGAGTAAAAAAATCAGCCCTCAATAAGACGGAATTTCACCGACCGAAATGGCATTTTTACGTGTTGACATATAAAGATACTAGGAGTCTAGGCCCATTTGCGCTAGTCAGGTAAACGGAGGAACACATTTTGGGAGTACGAACAGAGGGCACAACTTGGTAGCGAATTTTGGCCGTTAGCCAATGCTTGTTTTGCACAAGATGAGGCTTTCTTTCGACAACCAACAAGCGGTTAGGAAGAGGAAGGGGGTGTGTTGGACATCCATAACCTGCCTCCGTATCCCCACACCGATACAACGATGCATAACCCCTTTACCAGTTGCTTTGCAAATTTCCTCTAAACGTTTTGGCGGCAGTTGCCTGTAGAATACAACATCCATCTGTTTAAGAGTGCTGTGCGCTCGTTTGAAGTGGAATTAACCGTGAAGATGTTTAGCGGCTGTTGGTTCCTTGCTGCCCTACTTAATTGTCCTCCTGCTTCAACAAATGCTAAGCAACGCGTTGAAAAACAAACCGATCGAAATGCCCAAAGTGATGATGGCTTGCTGGAACCATCATAAGTAATAAAATTTTACTTTTAGCTGCCCACAGATTTCCACTCCAAACGCCCCATCAAAACGTTAAAATATACACAGATAATGCTAAATTTGCACCAAGTCACCGTGTAGATCACTCCGACACATAAGTATGACATCAAGTTACCGAAGATCGGACACGAAATAACACAAAAGTGATGCATGACCCCATTTCGGAGTTTGAAAGTGGGAGTGAAAAAGAAGGAATCGACAAGTTTGAAATGTTTGAACCTGCGATTTTAATTGACTAACACCCCTAAATAAATTACAACGAATTGTTTATGTGGTCAACACAGTCCAGAGTAACTCGGGTCCCTACCAAACAATGTTCTTTGCAAAGTTATGCGCGATTTGGGAAGCATGTATTTTCTAAGATGAATTTTCCTCCCTCGAGATCCGCTTTTCAGCAGTCCCAAGTTCGAGATTATTCGCCATTCCTGTGAATGACATAGTAATTGCAGAGTCCAGAATAGAAGTACAGAGCCTTGGCAGGACGGCATTGACACAATGTGTCGATCGGTTGCAGTCCAAGTAGTTACAGGACTTAAATAAATAATTAAATCGTTGGAACTGTACCAGAATGCAAAATGAGTAAATCTCCAGGCTTAAGGAAGGTCGAGGCAAAGTTTAGGTCCCCCTAGTTTATCCTTTTTCAGCGATGTCTTGCTCTAAGCCACGTACCTTTTATCTGATAAGGGTTAAGAGAACAATCTCCGAGCGCCATTGGGAGCGTCATTCTCTCCGTTACTAGGAGATCGCAAACAGCCAAAGAGAAGCTTCATACCTCAAGCCGTCAAAGTTAAAGCGTTTGTAAGACTGCCACTGTAACTAAACCTTCCTATTAATCGTCAACATTTCCATCCCAACGCTAGACCCCATTTCTTGGGCTTCTCAGCATCCACAAGCAGATGCCGATTCCCAAATTCATTGGACTATTGAAGCACGTCCCTTTCATCAGAATTTGCTTTACCGTGCAAACTGCTGCATGCACAGTTGATTTTCATCATGAACACAGAGTTTAAAGATGGGTCGCAAATCAAGGCACTCGACCAACCGACATCAATTATACCTCGGCCTTAAGCACCATGATAAAAGCACAACTCAATGACTGGCACACTCGTGAGCACTATCGTGTTCCTATTTAGTGACGGTCATTAATATGCACTCCCATCGCTGTTTTAACGATTTATGCAGGTTCTGTAATTTCATTACCAAAAAAGTGTCGAAGACTGTTGACACTAAGACTTTACATTTAATTAGTTAGTAGTTTGATCAATGACTGTTGTGAATACTTTGGCGCCAAAATCACATAATTAAGTGGTCCAATGAAAATCAGCAGACCGCTCGAAGGACCGTAAAAAGCCAACCACCCATAACCAACAAAAGTCTGGGGCCAGTTCTCACAGATGATCGATTCTACGAAAGCTTCTGCTTGGTACTGTACTCAACTAGGAGTAGGTCAGGGGCGGTCTTTTGGTGATGTGCAGGAGATAGGAGAATATGCAAACCAACAAAAACAGCAAATGGCGGAGCACGAATAGGCGAGCCACCTTCGGACGAAGTTGAGCAAAGTTTTACTGATAATTTCTTGTTGACAAGACCCACAAATACTCCCACTGTTAGATGATGACGAAGTATACAATGCAACAGCCAAAACATAAATATTCCCATGATCGCACGGGGTAATCTCACAATATCCTAGCCGTATCTACAACTACGCAAACCAATCATCTTACAGATACCAGCACCGAGTTCATTCGCGTCCGGGGTGCCAAGGACGGGGCTACCGATGTGCTGTCATGCATCCAGAACATCAAGAACGCGTGCTAGCTGTAGTCGAAGCAGAACGAAGGCGTGGCAACTCGAGGTGATGCATGCATGGAGGCGACTCCCTCTTCAACAGCGGCGTTGAACTATGATACCATGAACCCCCAGACACTTTAAAACACCTCGCATTCCGCGCAGGGCTTTGGATTTGCTATTGCCTTACAGTTCTGCCAAGTTTGTGCTCAATACTGAAACTTGAAAGCGACCAAATTAAGTTACTTGGAGCACGGTGCACAGCCACATTATTTCCATTATTGGCTACCGTCTTTTTTTAAAAAAAATATTCCGGGAAGGTGGACTACTGTCAAGTTTCTTAAGAAAATACTCCGTCATGTCAACATTTCTCTGGATTGAGTTTTTCTGTGGCAACGAAAGTAAGCACAAAAGATCGGGACAAGATGGATGAACGCACTCTATTATAGGAGCTGAACAAAGATGAACACAATCAACATGGATAAGGACCATGCACGCTTAATTTTTGTCATGCAGCTGAAATAAACTGATAACTAAGGTACTACTTTATTAAGTTAAAACTACCAGAAAAAAATTGCATGATGAATTTTTGTACTCCATGCGACCTTATCACTGCAAACCAGCAGAATAGTAAAAAACGAGTAAACAACGCAGAGGTCAGTTGGAGGGGTTAGAAAGAGGCGTCTTACGTCATCAACGCAAATTTCAAGAGAATTAAAATTTCGATTCCAAACAAAAGTGCCAATGCACATCTTCGTGAACGGTAATTCGATTGTCCCGAGAAACAACGTGGTGAAAAAATTAGCTCGAAAGATGAAACGAGGATGGCGGAGAGCGTCATGAGTGGATTTAGGCGTGTGGCCGGCTTCTGAGTTTTATAAGGTCTTGGACACCATGTGTAGCATGGTTACGATCTTGTTAACACCGTGTCCCGGTTTCACTTTAGCTACAAACGGAAAAGGCAAAACTCCCACAGCATAAATTGTTATTCCGCACAGTCAAGCTACTGTCACAGAAACACTGGTAAGTCTGCAAGAAATACGTGGTTTGCGATTCGATCGTCCCTTTACATTTTCTTGCGCAGAACCGCATGGAATCACGCGTCTTTGGATTCTTTAGGCAATTGATATTAGAGAGCATAGACATAAACCACAGATTAAGAAATAGACAATGGAAAAAAATCAGCGTATGAAATCTGGTAATTTCTTTACGTCACTGCATGAAATGGGACAAATCTAGATAAAGCAGGGAGCAAAAGTGTAACCATAATTTCGGAGGCGGTCAAGCAAGGTAAATTGCATAAAATTCTTAAGTCGGGTAGTGCTATTACCGTAAAACTGCAGTCCCAATAAAAATGATTGAAGGTAGCTGATAGACCTCGTCATGGTTACAGGGGTCTTCCCACAAAAACGGTTCTTAATAGACTAGGTAGATCACAAAAGGGGCTAGAGAAGAACTACGGGCATCTTCAAAGGCACGTGTTTAGATATCGCACATGCACGAATTGAAATTTAGTATGCATACCTCCTTCTCGTGACTGGTGAAGACCGATTTCAGATTCATTATTGCGTCCGTGAGGTGCATTTGGAGGGGACGGTGAATCCGCGGGAATTTATCCAACTGGTCCAGGGCTTGCTGCATGGCAGCTATAGAAGAGAAGTGGCAAGGCTATGTTGTCCGCAGTGCTTAAACAACAGACTAAAGTGATGGTAGTTTAGTAACCGATGACACGCATAATGAGGAAACTCGTTAGTTTAGATGACAGTTTTGAAAACCGGCACAAGCCTGTATCGGCTGGAATGTTTGGAGCCTTGATGTCTGTTGACTTTTAAAAAATATTAGACTACGGAAAAGCCTGGTTATGATCTGAAATGCAACAAAAGGAATCGGAATAAAGAAAATCCCAAAGAGCATTAATCTCTATTTCAATGATCACACTTAAATCGTAAAAAAATGGAACCGTAACCAAAGGCAAACCTATAGGAACGCGAATTGATTCTAAAAGTTATAATAAATTAATCGGAAAGAGAAAGTGTAACATTTAAGAATAACAAAGCATTTCTTACACATAAATGTTTTCCATTGGGGACCGAATTGCAATAGTTGTGGGGCGCATAAATCGGACAGCTGATCGCAAGCAAAACTGCATGGGTTTATCGTCAGGATACCAGCACAGAGGCTGCAAAACCTGAGACGCTGATAGTCCTCAATACATTCATCTGTCGGATTTATCTATGCGGAAATAGAAACTAAATTGGTTCGTGTTGTGGCATTCCATGATAGCATTAGTAGAATAATAGATTTAAAGATGTAGCATTAAACAGAAACATTATTGAATTAACGACTGCACATACAAAACATAAGACATCAACAGGCATATTCTTAAACTTAACATTATAGTGCTGGAATCACAATATATCTCGATACTGTTTATTGCACTGAATTTTGTGTTACAAAACAGGTCTATCACTACCAATTTTACGGTTCTGGACATTGATATGAAACTTCGACGTATACAAATACATAATTAACGGCAGGCACGCTAAAAATAATAAATATGAAGAAACTAGCACGTTCAAAATCACGACCTTAATTTTAAAATCAGCCATAACACGTGTTTGACGACAGAAATAAAAGCTTGAAGGAATGCCAACAGCGAGCTTACAGTAATCGAAGCAGCGAGGATAGTTTCTCGGGCATAAGCCATTGCATTTGTCACCAACCGGATGGGTAGAAAGGCCTCAAGTGTCATATTTGTAACTATGGAGGGAATTCGAAGAAAAGGCTGTTTGGCTCTAAGTGAATCGGCTACACACATTGTGTAAGACTCTGCCGCGTTTGCATTTAGGAGGATTTTTGTGATTCTCAAAAGAACTTCGTCAAAAAAAGCAGACACTAAGTTTGAGAGACCATCAATATGTCCAGATAAATACGACTGCATTGTAGAGAAAAAGTTAAGGAAGAATTGTTCATGCGACCTATACTTGTAGCTGAAATCTTCCCGTAATTGACTGTGTAGCTGTTCCATCGTTGAGCCAAGAGTACTAGTGAAATATGCTGAAGAGGTGGTATAAACCTGAAGAGAAAACCTACATTTCAAAAAGATTGTGTCGTTACGAAAAAGTTCAGCATTGCTTTCAAGTGAATTGGTCAACAGTTTTCGAACGTCGTGTTCAGTCTTGAAGGACATTAGCAGCAACATATCCGTGGAACAACAATTAACCGATGGGGCAATGTTTGTTTTACATACATCACCATTGTCTAGAAAATAAGGCGAAGAATTAGTAACTCACATCTTCGAGTGTACAGTTGTTGGTCACCAAAATTAGACATCCAGTATCTTTGGATAGTAGAACAATTTGCTGTACTGAATGCAATGATTGGCCGTGTAAACGAATATAGGATAAAGAGACTGATAAATAAAGTTCGAGGATGACGAATCATTGGCATGCGAGAATCGAATACGGATCAAAAGATATCACGATAAAACCTAGATAAAAAAAGGGGCTAAATAGATTTATAGTATTTATTTTCACAAATATCGCATCAGCTCTTACATTGGTTCTTAGCTTGTCGAAAGGCAAAAAGTTGAAATATTCAACGTCACCAAAACCGAAAACCTGTCTATTTACCCAGAAGGTAGGTTAGAAACAATAAATCAAAAAGTATTAAAGACGTTAACTAAAAGTAGCAAGATTATACAGAAGATACTGCATGTATAAAGTACCCAGATTACAAAATTAATAAAGCAAGAAGGAAGAACCGATTTGTTGACCCAATGATTAGTAACAAACAAAGAAGTTCGAGAGGTAAAAAACAAAAGACACAACCTACCATTCATATCTTTAGGTTATGGAAAACCACTTAGGAAACTCATAACAAAACAAAAAAGCATAAGTCAACAAAACAGACTTAAATCGTAATTATATAGATTAAGATAGACTAGTACAAAAGAAAGGATATTTTAAGCAAAGTTATCTGCATTCAACAAACACACAATTTAGAGAAAGATATGCTCTCGAAAAATGTAACGAGTACAATAAAAAATAAATTAAAAAAATTGGACTGTATTAAAAGCCGAAGCATTCGCATGCTATAGACCCTTTCAAAGAAGCAGCACTACAAAAAAGCCCAGAATATCTACAAAACTAAGTACTATTTAATACATGAGTCAGGCGTTACAAGACACAAAAGTGCGGTACGAAAACTGAAAACACCATAGACTTCGTTTAATCACGCAAACTAATGTCCGTCATTTTAAACGTCTGAAGGTCACAAATACAAATCAGGCATTCAAAAGAAGGAGAAGAAGAAGGGTCGAGGACCACATTTCATCCAATTCTCAGTCAAGAGTGCAAAAATCAAATTTACCTTATATATGGTTTCAGCCAGCAAAAATTTAATATCACTAAAAATAAGCTTCATGATTAAGTTTTTGATTCAAAATAGGTTCGAAAAAAGTGCTTAATTTAGCACCTGAAAACCACAGTTCAATAGTCTTTTCTATCATTTTTTAGAAAAACTACAAAAAATTTGTTTAGATTTTGGTAAAAATGCTTGAAAATTAATTTTTATAAATAAACATAATTTTCGCATAACATAATTCCAGTTATATGAACTGAATCCACAACCTACGTTTCAAAACAGGAATCAAAAAAATAGGTTTTAAAACTGCACACTTTTTAGCATTGTTGCCTTGATGAAAGATTTATGCACTTAATTCAAAAACAAAGCACACATTCGAGATGCAGAAAAAGGTTGTCATAATAAGCTGCTAAAAAGTGCATTGTGACTGATTTATTGATTAAGAACGCTGATCTGTTCTATATTTTAAGCCTATGTGGGCCAGATTACTTTAAATAACATCAATGCTAATATCTTTTCTAATCGGTTGCCCTTGAAGTGTGATTTAATTTCGTAGTAGCTCTCCATAAATAAAATTTGAGAGGTTTTTACCAAGCTTAATGGCTTGAAGACATTAAAGGGCACAAGATTACATTTCGGACTAATGAACACTATTTTTCGAACATCTTATAGTCCATACAGAGTTAAAAAATAATGCACTAGGCTGACGAATACTTTTATTGGAAATCGTGCTGTGAAAATGTCAAGGTTCATTGGAGGAATCTGTCTGTGATACACACAGAAAAACTGCTGAAAATAACATTATACAATACAACGTCATGCCAAATTTAATATGCAATATTCTTACTGAATCAGATCTAAATAAATTAAGCAACTTTTAAATCGAAATCAACGACCTTACATATATTGACATTGGGGGCTTCTAATAGGAATTCGTTCAAGGTCCAACGTGTCAGGAAAAAAATTTTGGAAACTGTGTTAAGCCGTGTTGCATTAAAATTATATTGTATTATTATAAGAACCAAATTACCTAAAATATACTAAAAATGTTCTGAATGATTATATTCGAACAAATGAAAATATTTATGAATGCCAAGATTTATACCTGTAATCAAAATCTCAAAATATACAGCCTGCAGGTAGTGTGTGCGTAAAAATTGATATAAATTGTGGCATGCATTAATTATAATTAAGTTTTTTCACAATAAACCAAGATTATGTTACATTGACCAATATTGATTTGCCTGGGTTTACTTTGTTAGTTATCAATTATCAACTGATAATTTCGCCAAAATAGCAATAATCATATAATGAATTACAAATTCTTATGGATTTGCAAAATTATGCAAATAAATATTACTATATTCTTAGCAAGTATGCATAACCGCATCCTTTTTTTATCTTTCTGAGAACACGTTAGAGAAGTCATTTCCTGCTCTAAAAATAGTGTGATTTTAAAAAAATAAGACAAATTGAGTAAAATTTAGCCTCTTTTGGATGCGTTTTATTAGGTCAGAATTCTATTATCAGGATTAGAAACGTATCTGAATAGTTTTTCGAATTACGTGAATATAATCTATTAATTTTCATTTTTAATAATAATAAATGCTAAACGAATCAATATAGCAATTTCTATGCGATTATGATGCACACAATGTACGCTTTCAAAAAAATCTGGGATGTGGTTCAAGGTGTTCCTTGAAGCCATAAATAGCAGGTATGGCGGAGAGCGTATTTTAATGTCCGCCGGCTTTTTGTTGATTGGCTGCGGCTGTTTTCTTCATCTTGGTTTGGGAGGCGAAGTTAACTTATAAGAGTGAGAATTTGTGTGTTTCATTCGTTCGCACATTTTTTTATTTGCAGTTTCTACTACTTCAGAATTAATTTTAATGGCTAGACACACCTCTCCGTAATGTAATCATTGACTACATTAACTTCGCTTATTTGTAAATCTATCTATCATAATTTAAGGTACCAATGACCTTTTATCAGCGTTTATAGTCATTGAATTTGTTATTTTGACCTTAATTAACTAGTGATAAATGTAGGAAAACTAACGTCAAAATTTCAAACCTATGGCTATTACATGAAGCATTTTTGATGCGTAATGAAGCAGTTGACAAGGGTGCATACAAAAAGCTAAAACGCTTAGTGAGGAGTCACTCTGTCTTCACAGGTCATACAGGGGTAATGGGAAGCCACTTATGTTTCATCGAGATGTGCCGAAAATGTTGAGACTGTTGTTCTTTTAGCATCTGTCAGGTTGCACAAGGTAACATTGAATTTCTTAGTGCAATGTTGTAGTGCTGACAAACCGTATTCTTCATATTTTTTATTTTATATTACAAAATTTCTTGGCTAGTTCGAATGTGCTATGCATTCGCCTCTTTAATCTAGTTCATTTTTAGTAAGCAGATGGAATACTTCTCCGGGACAATTCATATTCAAGTACTCGAGGCAACTGAGCTGAAGGCAACCGCATGTGCCACGCGGCACGCTGTGGGTCCAGCTGCAAAATTATACGAGCTTTTGGACCCATACGTGACCATTGAAGTAGATGACCTTGCTATTGCTAAAACTTCGACGAAATCAAAGACCAACTCCCCACGCTGGAAGGAGAATGTAAAGGCTGAGGTGACAAGTGCCCAGCGTCTCACTTTCACAGTCTATCATGATGCCGCAATTCCGCCAGATGATTTCGTTGCTATTGCTGAGCTACTCATGCGAAACGTCCGAGCCGGGAAGGAGTTTTGGCTTGAGTTAGAGCCTCAAGGACGTCTCAAACTGCAGATCGACCTTATTGGCACTAGGACCGATGAACCACCAAAATTAGCCTTTGATAAAGACAGTTCTACGTCCAGCAGTGGTGTATTGCATGCCAAGCACTATCGAGCGGGTGCCTTACGTAGGCGGATTCATCAAGCTAAAGGTCATAAGTTTCAGGTTAGTTATAGATCCACTGATCTCTCGATTGAATTAGTAAATCATTGTTCATCTTTTGTCGCTTCGCCGGTGTGTGCTTTCTTTGTATAGAGGGTTCCGGCAATCGCCTAAAAATATTAATTTCGCTAGCTTACCTTAAATCTAATCTGGTTGCACCGTAAATTTGCGAAGTAATTATCTTTCGGCACCTGCTTGTCAACATACGTGCAGGTATAAATCAGGCTCTTCCAGTGTCAGTGGTTCTATATTAATCCGATTAAAAACGCATTTCCTCGAATATAAATTCGTCTTAGTGTAAAGAAATTTGCTAAGATCACTTTGTGACTTTCTGGAATCAAATTTTTGATGTTTTAGCGTCAGTTCCTGCAAACATGGTGTCCTGGTGCCAATGGTTGTGTAAACTACCATCACTACCACATGACCTGTATTTAAAATCGGCAGTTGGGTATTGATGAGATCAGGGCGTGTCTAGGCTTGTGTAAAACCAAAGCCGCTGCACTTGGTTTTTATTTAATTCAGACTGTGCCTTTCGAGTTTGCTATTTTGGTATGCGCTTGTCATCGAAGTACTGCTAGTCAACTTTGCTGGCCCGGGCTCCTGTGTTCTAATTATAACTTTGTGCCCCTTAAGGTAGTGCTTTTTTCCGTCCTATTAACCTGATGGAATTGTTTTTAGCGTAAAACACGTAAGTTGGTCGCACGTGGAGGGGTGAGGAAGGGTAGCAAAACGCCAATTCTCATGTTGGGGAATCAATACTGACTTAAGAAGCCATGTTCACACCGGAGGATTAGGCCGGTGAATGTTGGAAACCATCGGCAGTGTCTGTTAAAAGCTAGGGAAGCCGCTTCTAGCCTAGTAGTTATGCATTCGTCTCTGGTAACATGGTTCGCGTATTTTGTCCGTGATTGAAGTCTAATGTATTCGAGAAGGTACTCCCATATGCCAAGGCATGTTAACTTCTCTTACGAAAGATTGCTTTTATTTGAGCAGTCAAACGATAATCTAGTGTTTATGTTTTTTTTTATCAAACTGCACAAAAATATCCAATTAATTCCTCATTGCGTTTACGAAGTTGGAATTCGAACGTCCGATTCCGCTACCCCTACTTTTGATCCAGAGTGCTCAGTGTTCTTAAACGACCTTTGCGCAAAATGTCATCATCCCTCTAAGAACATGCTACTAAACACTCATATCTGCATTTTAGGATGTATTGTTGTGTAGACGCGTTGCATACTTATTTGCGTGAATCATGTATTCAATAGCCACTTTACTCCCAATTTTCGCCCCTTTAGTTAGGATACTTGGTCATCAGAAGCCATTTGACGGAGAATTAAAATTTGGAACAATGTCGTATTTTTCTTAAAGAGTTATTCAGTATCTCATAACTGATTAGTTTATGCAAAAGTCAGCGGATCGTTTCGTTTCTCAAAACTTGATTGCTTACTTCCCATTAGGTCACGGTGCTAAAGCAGTTCACCTTTTGTTCTCTCTGCAACGACTTCATCTGGGGTCTCTGGAATCAGGCGTATCAGTGTCAGGTGTGTACCTGTGTGGTTCACAAGCGCTGCTATCAGAATGTTATTACTCAGTGTCCTGGTGTCAAGGCTCTTCCTACTGGACCTAATGCAGTTCTTCAGGTGAGTGTCGGTGTTCCAAATGTCCTTGAGGCTGGTGTTCCATACCCCCCTCCCAGTTCTTTTGCTTGTGTCGTTGTGTTACATGTACTTTTTGCATACACAGGCAGTAATGGCTTCTTGAAGGGTGAGTGCTGCGGCTTCCCTAACCCTGTTTGTCTGTTTTTGTTTGCGTTGCAGTGGCGCTATCTTAACATTGTTGGCTTTTCTCCATTACAGCATTTTTACATAAAAAAAAACTAATTTTTCACTCGGTGCACTGTCCTGATTTACAACAATTGTGCACTCATGTGTTTTTATACACTGAATTTAAGTCGGATTGTGACAGATTTGGCCTTAGTTTGTTCGCCCAAACTTTCCTGTTCATTACCCGTCATCGCATACCGTGTCAGGGTGTTTACTGTGCTAGTGCACAGTTATATTTCTGTAACCTATATGTTTTACCTGAATCGCATTTTACTATCGTAAACTGTACCCGCTACACGACAACCTTTTAAATCTACGGGAAACGAAAATTTCATTGGACTGGGGTCGTTCGAATGTGCCTTCAGTTGCTAAATGCAGGTCCTGCTTCCAATGTTCCTGGAACTTAAATTGTGGTCTTTATCATAAGCCTCTGCAGTCAAAATCACTCGTAGCAGCTAAATAATCAGTCAGCTAAAATATTGGGTCGCGTAGTTATGTGTTGTGTGTGAAACCAGTACCTTCACAAGAGGTCGAAGATCCGCTTAGTTCCATTCTATGTGCCCAACAGAAACGGTTTTAATTGTAGCACGACTTGCTAAAATGCCTTCATGTGATTCGTTTTGTGGACGCATGTGCTTATGGCGGTTGTTGTACTGATGCTTCTCTTGGCCAATTTTGAATATAAAGATCGAGTCTTTCCCAGGGGGATGTCTGCCAGTGAAAATGGGAGAGATTATCTTGTTTGTACAGTCTCAGATTTCGCTCTTTCACCCCATTAGTTGAGTTCATGCCTACCTCGCAACGTAAGTCATGGGAGTCCATGTTTTCCCAAACTAGTTTTGCTAATTAAATCAACGATAGTAAATGCCTCAATATGACGTCGCTACCAATCAATCAACTTGCACCTTGGTATATGAGACTTCCTCCTGTGATCTCGTCGAACTGTCCTGAACTACGAACAGTTGCAGCTAGCACACAAACCCTCTTGTGGTAGCTGCGTTAGGTCGCATGTATTCGCAGTGACTAAATTTATTGTTTGACTCCTTCAGGTTAAATAAAGGAGTAAATTTACACGTCCATTGTTAAAAAGGTCACATTAGGAAGGTGATGGGGGAAAATTCAAGGGCAGGCCTGGAAGCCCCTTTTTCTGGCTCGAAATTGATGCCTAAAAGTAGCCTTGAAATGTGACCCTTTTTGTGCTACATGTTCTTTTTGATGTCATCTTATCGTTGCGCTATTTGTACCTGTTTTTCGTCTGGGTACGTTTGCCTTTGGCTATTGCTGGGGCCTATTTTGACCACCTCATTGTTAAGCGCCTACTCTTAATGTGTACGGTTTCTACTCCATTTTGCAGTGGTCAAATAGTTTGAAATGTTGCTGCGTCCATACATTTACGAGGACCAGTGTTTCTGAAAAAAAGTTGGTAGTGAAGCCAAACAGAGTTTTCGGACCACTCACTGCCATGTCGAAGAGGAGTGGAATTGGATTCTCCTCTCACTCCTTCATTTCACTGCTGTGTTAGCGCCATTCGAAAAACATAGTAGGGTAGTCTGTTAAAACCATTCTGAGTTTGGTTCAGTCGGTCTGCCTTGTTTTTGCATTATTTCCTTTTGATTGTGGAGCGTTGACCTAGTTAATTATTTTTTCGACTGGGCCTTGGATATGCTGGTGCAGAATACATACCTTGAGGAATGATTACCAACATCATGGAGATTTGACAACAGAACCAGGTGTACTGTCCTTTCACAATACACCCGTTCGCGGCCGTAGTTGAAGTACTCGTGATTGGTTCTTACTTGCCCTCGCGCGAAGTGGCTTAACTCTGCTATTTCCTATTGATGGCGTTTCCGCCAAACTTCTCCAACACAATTCACATCTTAATTAACACGTCCTCCTAATTGTCCCAAGTTTTGTCATATATGCGCTGTGTAAACCAAGCAAAGTTGTTTTTCGTCGAGAAATGGAATTGAATTTTGGTGTTTGTGCAGACTAACGTTTTGTAATTAATGTTATAGTTTTCAGTATATGCATAGTTTATGCCTGTTTAATGTGCTTTTGATGTCCCGTTACATTTGGTTGTTTGTTTCATTTGTTCTTGCCCAAACTCTAAAAATTACCTCGCCCTAATCCATGCCCCGTTCCTTTCTTAGCACTAACCAGTTGCTCTGTTGTACCACCCCTTTGTGTCCAGAGCTTGACTTCGTTTCCTAATTTTTCCACTTCCACAGAACCGTTTTAACATAAACGTACCTCACAAGTTCCGGGTACATACCTACATGCTGCCCACCTTCTGTGAACACTGTGGCTCCATCTTATTCGGGCTGATGCGTCAGGGCCTGCAGTGTGAGGTCTGCAAGGCGAATGTCCATCGCCGGTGTGAAAAGAACGTCGCGTCGCATTGCGGCGTGAAGACGCGCAACCTGATAACTGCAATTCGACAGTGCGGACTTAATCCCTCCGATCTCGGCTTAACTGGGGAGGCAGTGGCGGCCGCAAGCGCCGTCGAGGTCTCGGTGCGATCCGCACCCACTGACCACGTGCATCACCTGAAGCGGGCCGAACTCTATCCCTGGTACGTTAGGGCGCCACCTGGCTGCATTTAACGCCTATTTCCGAATATCATTGTTGTTATTTTGTTAAAAATCTCTACTTTCATGGATTAATGAATTAGTGATGTGTCGAACCCTCAGTTATGGGTGCATTGAATTGTTATTCATACTTACCGTGAGTCGATTTGACGTTCTTTTAAAAATCACAACCTGACTTTAGTTGAACCGATCTAGAGGGAATGCAGACTGCACGAACTACACTGGCCACGTCATCACATTGGGTAGCGGTTTTGGTAGTATTTCCTGCTTCGGTAGTTTCCAGCAAGCTTGCCTTCTTGTATGCCTCATAACTGCTCGAGTATCAGGTGTTCTCTCGTGTTTGTTTGTCATGTAAATAGGGAAAACTGATGACACTAATACTTCAGATGTTCTTGGATGGTCTTAATACTCGTAAAGTGTGTTTGCGGACAACTTTTCCTCGGTCTTCTTGGGACAGACCTTATTGTCTGTACGTGTCCATTGTCGCTGCAATTAAAACTACATACTAGGGCGGATTGTCTGCACTGGTATGCGAGTTTGAATTACTCTCTCGTTGAAGCCTTCGTTGGGGATGCTAGCACCTTTGACCTCATGCCAAGTCCACACCAACTGAGACCTCACAGCATATGTACCATTCTGTCTACCGGGTTGCCATGCTGTGTGCGTGTGTGTGTGTGTGTTAATTCCTCGAATTTGTTAATGTGTGATGACCTATCTACCTTCACATCCGCTTTGTCTGGCGCCCTCTTTTCGTGCTGGTGAGGTCCTTGTAAGGTGAAACCAGTACGTCAACTTGCTCGTCACGTTGATCCCGATTCGTTCCAGTTACCCTTAGAACGAGATGTATCAAGGTGTACCCATGCATTCTTGCCTGATCTCCGTTTCACTCACAACGCCTCCATTGTATTTCGTTTCCATAATACAGAGTGTATCAGCACTGATTGCTGCTCTATTTTGAGTAGTCTACGATTACAGGTAATTATTTTTTTTCATAGCATGCCTTTTGAGGCTCGATAGCACAATGATTCCCAAAACACACATAATCGTCCAATCGTGCTAGTTATCGCTCAGGCCGCAGTTTTCATACCATCACCCAACTCGTTTGTTTGACGTCGAAACGCATGACGACAGCTTGGGGTGGAGAAGCGAGGCCAATGTGCTTTCCTGGAGTGTTGTAAAATTCACCCGACCAACCATGTGCTGTTTCTAACTGACCCCGAAACCCGTAATTTGCTTATAGCGTGTGTGTGTGTGTGCACTGATTCCTCTCCCATCCCTAGCGCGCACGCCCAGCTACCAGGGGCAACGCACACCACGCACCAAAAGTACACCTTGGGGTGGGGAAACCAAATTACACGCTTCGTGTGCCGTACTTTTAAAACCCGAATTGTTAGCATGACAACACTGCGTTGCCTCTTTTGAACAAACTCTACTTCGACAATGGTTTATCTTTTGTCCCAAGGTAATTTGCTTCCTCCACTGCATTCTCGGTACTTGTTTTGATTACGTACCTCCTCTACGAATGGTCTGTTCGAAACGTGGGCCTCTTGTCGTTGTCTCAGGAGTTTAGCTTAATTAGCACTAAGACACCATGCAAATTACCTGCTAGTGTTCGTTTCCCTTTCCACTAGAAGTGTCTTTAAGTGTTTTAATATTCGAAGTGAATCTTTAGAAGGTGTTATAATTATGATCGTGTCAAAGCGCACAGCAGATTCTACAACAGTTGTATATTACCACAAACTTGAGTTAGACATTCTGATCCCAAAATGATGCAAATTCTCAGGACGGCGCCGCTAACGCCGTCACACTAGGTAGCAATTTTACCGACGTAATCTCCGTTTGAGGTAATTTCTAAGTCGATTCTTCAATTACTCTACATTTAGTCGAGCAGTCAAGTTTAGGGCAAATAAACACCATTTGCGAATGTCACTAATCCACTGTCCTGCGGCGACCATCGGAAAGCGAGGGTTCCTTGAAGGGCAGCGCGTCCCACACAGACACGCGCATGCAAACCTTTCTTTTATGTGTGCTTTTTAGTGGCAGCGGTGGCGGCAGCGGCAGCGGTGCACCGCATGAAAGGTCCTTTAGCTCGCCGATCCCAATGCCCCCGACCACACCGAACGACTCAGACAAAGCTGCCTCCGATCTCGATGCGATGAATCTTAGCGAAGACTCTGCATCACATGGTCTCATTGCCCACCGACCTAGCTCCATGATGGTAGGCGTCTTGTTTGTTCACAAGCAACCTCGCATTTCACCAAGCTTTTTAATTCACTCAACTTTTCAGTACGGTCGGAACTCGTTGTCCTATTGATCTGTATTGAATAGATTAATTGTGGGTGCTTCTGGGGCATTTCACACGGCTTGTTTTTTTCTAATTGCTAGTCTTCTGCTTTAAAGGCCTATGCATTGCTCACGGGTTTTCTCTGTATGGTTGATTCTTAGTGAACTAATGGTGTAGGAATAGTTAATTTCCTGGTTTCCCTCACTCCTAGCCCCTTTTTGCTCACACCACAAGTTAGTCCCACGTCTTTGTTTCCCTTCGCAGGAGGGAGAGGAGGGTGAGGTGGCAACAGCAGCCGTTGGGCCAGCCTCGGCAGTGACGAGTCGTCGGCATTTTGTCCCCCGCATTCCCCGTCTTGCCGATTTCAGTCTTCTCAAGGTGCTGGGCAAGGGCAGCTTCGGCAAGGTGATGCTGGCTGAGCACCGTGCCACTGGCGAGGTCTTCGCGGTGAAAATACTTAAAAAAGAGGTCATAATCCAGGAAGAGGATGTGGAATGTACCATGGCCGAGAGGCGGATACTTGTCTTGGCCGCTCAGCACCCTTTCCTCACCGCGCTCTACTGCTCATTCCAAACCGAGGTGGGAATAAATGCCACTTTTAAGTCTTATTCTCAACTACATTTTCTATGCGAGGTGACTCTTGAAACTGTCACTAGTTCCGAAAATCCGACCAACTTTTGAAACTGCGTAGCACAATCTTAGAAATTATCGCCTGCCACGCGCAAGACGCCGCATTGGCTGTAAAGTTGGATTTGAAGAACGCTATATACCAACGGGAGACAGGCTCAGATTTGCATGATTGCTTTCTATGCCTCTACTTGACCCTCTTCGGACCAGGGCTAAATGATTGTACGCAAGTAAAATCCTCGCTGAAGAGTCACGCACATGACCCGTGGATTTCAGCTACGTAAAAACCATCGTTCGGGTGTCTTCACCCAACTAATCCTCTTTATTTTTGCTTTTAAAAGAGAAGAATAAAGTGATTTTCGTTTTCATAGTTTGAGATAAGACGTTTTTTAAATTCGCTTTGTCCAATGGTCTTTTGCCATACTTCTGCCACCTTCATAATTCCGGAGTCATAGAACTGTTAATTCTTATCAGCAAAAAGCAAACCAAGTCACATTTTAATTTTTTTCACAATTATTTAGGTTTCACCATTAAAGGGCTTTTGTAAACTGCAAAACAGGTGGTGGTCTGATAATATTCCAGTGGTTTTCCACGAGTTAACAAGCCCGTGTGAGACCGAGAACTATCTCGACGGAATATGATTCCACCTTTCATTGCTTCCTCCAACCTCACTAGCTGTCGACTGTCAGCACCTGAAGAAGTCGTGCTTTGACTGCTCAGGCGCAGGTCAAAATATTCATTTTTGTTCTTCCACCGAACTCACAGCATGCCCTTTTGCGGTGCGAATCTTTCTATGAGGTTGTGCCGATTTAATTTGGTGTCGACAACCTAGTTTTTATCCCCGGTGATGAATCGTCTCAAATTCGAGACAAAATCGTTGAGTTTAAGGTGCATATTGCAAGCCATCATTGTGACTGCTACACCGAAATTATCTTCTTGGTATCTAAAATGTTTAATATTTTCAGATGTTTTTGTGAGACTCTAACCAGGTTATTTTCATCGTGATTTTTTTGCAGCTACCCGGTTAACCTTACAGCACTTTTTCCACATTTCAATCTTCGTGTTTACTGATTATGCATGAATTCCCCATAGCCGATTGGAGCAAACTCCTGTCACATTTTGATCCGCGTGCTTGTATTTGCGTTTGACATCAACAGCCGACGGGCGGAAGTTTCGTTAATAGTTTAAGCTCTTGATTTTTGGCACTTTTCGGTGTTCTCCGGCGTCCCATTCCCTCTCCAATTGCGGGCACGCACTGTCTCGTTGTCTCCAACATCGTTAACATGGGTGTTAACTGACCTACCGGCGTAGTCATTATTCTTCACCTTAGCCAATTTTCCAATTAGTGCTCTTCTCAAACTGTTGTTTTGTCTCCATAAGCGAAAATTACAAGCAGTAAATGGACCAGCGGATGAAGTTCCTCAAGGCACTGTTGAGATGGACCTACCGAAATATCTAATTCCGGTTTTTTTGCTATTAGATAGTGAATGTGTTCTTGCAAACCCGTAACGTTTCTTCCTCTTGTAAACTTTTCAATTGCGTTCATGAGGATGGCCAGTAGTCCGAATTCTCATCCCACCCATATTCTCCGTTGTAGGATCGCTTGTTTTTCGTAATGGAGTACGTGAATGGTGGCGACTTGATGTTCCAGATCCAGAGAGCGCGTCGTTTCGACGAAGCTCGTGCCCGCTTCTACGCTGCCGAGGTGGTTCTGGCGTTGATGTTCCTTCATCGTCACTTCATTGTCTATCGGGACCTAAAGTTGGACAATATTCTCCTCGACGCCGAGGGCCACTGCAAGCTCGCTGATTTCGGCATGTGTAAAGAAGGCATGTTTCCAGGCCGGACCACTTCAACTTTCTGTGGCACGCCCGACTACATTGCACCCGAGGTACTTGACAGTTTTTGGTTCTGCTTGAGTAGGTGTAGCTCTGTCCCCATTTAATTCAACTAGTCGGTCTAGCCATCGTGACGCTGCTTCTTCGTGTAATGAATGTGTCACAAATTGACGCGGCAATCAATTAAGGCCCCTGGGAAATGCGTGCTGCTGCGTCTGGGATTGCGCTCGCAGAATGGCATTTAGGCATTGCATGAAAGACAAGTATCGCGACGGCATTTTCAGCAAGGCGGCTACCCGTTTCTCCCAGCATCCACTTGTTGCGATACAAAATACTACTTTTCCTATCCACTTAAGTGTTATTTGTAGGTTCCTTACACTAGTAATTATACTGTCAGTATCTAAGGCGTAATAAAATGTTTGCCTTCTTGAACAGCCATAACTAAACGTATCCAAACAGCAATTCTGCAACACTAGCAAAGGCGGCTCCCAATACTACATATGTTGAAAGTTTGGTTAGTTCTGCCTACCGCCTAGTTTGCGAGATTAAGTCATCTCTGATGCGGACATCACAAACTGAAGTCATTGTCTAATACGTCTCGACCTACGGTTTACCGTTATTTACAGTTCAATTTTATTCGTGCACCACTGAGCGGTGCCAGGTGGCATTGGACATAACAGCAAAAGACTCTGCCTTTTTCCGTTCCGGCGTTGTCCCCTCACGACAGTCACCATTGGCTGGCAAACGCAAAGGGCCATATGCACAACCATTGGAATTCGGCCTTTATTGTTGCTCGTGCGGTCTGCACCTCTGCGTCATGTGATGGCTAGAACATGTATTTTGATGCAGTTTAACTGGTCACTAGGCTGGTGGAATGCTGATATGGTGATCTGGTGCTTGCGTTTTGTGTATTCATTTTGGCAGCTTTTTTGTGTAACAAGTGTGAGTACGGATGCCCCATTCATTAGTATTCGACGCTCATGTACACAAGATTAATCATTTTCACGTCGCTAGCTCAATGAATTGTTTCTACTGGCACCGTTATCAACCCCTGACGAGCAATATTCGACTTCTAACTAATGAGCATTTCAGTACATGCTTATACCACTAGTCACTTTATAAATGCAGAACTTATTCATGAATACTTTGGGTTTTTGCATTGAACTTGCCTTGGCAGATTTTGGCAGAGCAGGACTACGGTTTCAGCGTGGACTGGTGGGCACTGGGTGTGCTGATGTACGAGATGCTGGCCGGCGCACCCCCTTTCGAAGGTGATACGGAACAGGACCTATTCAACTCCATATCTTACGGCGACGTTAAGTACCCCTCGTCTCTACAGCCCGAGGCCGTCGACATCCTTTCAAGGGTGAGGACAAGTATTGCTGAATGATTAAAACCTTGTATACCGTTAATTATAATTAGGGTGCTTCAATGTTCTCCTGGATGCTCTTCAGTAGGTGCAATTCTCTCCAAAAATGCACCAAAAGCAATGCCACACGTATCGACATTGCATCCAGAGTTCGGAAATGGGCTGCTCTTGTGTTTCGCCAGTCAAGATTGTGTGATTGGAATGCACTAGCTCTGGAACCACCGATGTTCACTCAGTTTATGTCTATCTGATTATGTTACGAGGCCTTTGTTTGTGTGGGGTAGCATCAGACACGTGAACTGTTCTGAATGCTTTCGTTCAGTACCTCCGCAGCACATGTCACCAGCCTCTTTTGTTGCCATGCCCTGCAGGTCATGGACTGCATACATTAGCACCATCATCGCCTGACCTCATAACGGCCCATGCATAATGCTAATTTTTTCACTCATTACCCACAGCGAGTACTTGAATATGGATTCCTGGTGGTTAGATTATTCAGGCCCTTATTTACTAGTGCTTTTTTTACACGTATTCTTCCTGAAACTACATTAATGCAACTCTTGTTTCCACAATTTGCATCTCTACGCGTCTGGTCCTGTTTCTACGATTTTGATTAGATCCAAAAACGTGCTGCAAATCGGACGAACCCTCAGCGTCCGATTGAATTCTCAATAACGCTTTTCTCAGCTTAACAGCACGATTCCCTGTTTGAAACGCAAACCTACTTCCTGTACGGGACTTGGGTCTTTCTAAATGCCTGAGTTCAAGTGGCCTTTAGCATAGTTTTCATCAGAAACGCCTGGGGATTATAGACGCGACTTGGGTATGAAGAGAAGTAGCCTCTTTGGTAATTAGACCTGTGTCAGACCAAGTAGACAAGAATTCTAAAATAAATCCAATGAGGATATTTCTTGATGCAGTTATCGACGTCCCTCATCAATCTTACGCTCTTAAATCATAACCCACCTCCGTCGAGTTCTACAAATGTTATGCATGCGTGCTGCCAACCCCCAACCCACTAAATATCCATCGAATTGTCGGAATTATGTCCATTCACAGGCTTTCTGTTGTTTTCGAGCCTTGCGGTACCTCAGTATTAAACAGATTGCGCATCCACGAACACATTTAAGCCCATGCGATATAAACAGGCGCATCACGATCCAGTTTTTGTCCATTTAATCAACTCTAAAGATTTCCACCGTAGAGTTTTTATGTCCAATTTACAATATTTGCATAATCCAAGCCCTTTGTGCACTCGATACCAGTCCTTATTCTGACGCCATTAAAAACAATTTGAAACTTAATGCAATAGAACTGGGCTTGTTTTGCAATCGGCTAAGTTCCAATCGCCTATTATGCACACCAATTTTAATCACGAGGTCTTAATATCTAATCTATCTTCCTTTGCTGGTGTTTAAAACCTACAACAAAAAGCCTGGTTTCCCATGAGTTTGGAGCCACAGATCGCCTTTTTAAGCCTCATGTTTTAAGGTACGTCTTTTGCCGATGATCATTATTTTTCTGTGTTCTAGTTTCTGCTAAAATCGCCAGTCCGACGGTTAGGCTGTGTGATGAGCGAGGGTGGTGAGTTGGCGATTCAGCGCCACCCATTCTTCAGGGAGATCGACTGGAAGCTTCTCGAAGAACGGAAAATCCGTCCTCCTTTCCGGCCCAAGGTCCGGTCACGCTTCGACACGACAAATTTTGACAAGGCGAGTTTGCGAATATGTCTGTTTAGCGATCATCAATTACTCCAATCGACTAGTAAAAAATAGGCCTGGCATTCGCTATCTCACCACCAGGCACAAAACGACTCATCTCAAAGTCCATTTTTGGCGACCAAGTTGTTGTGTGGTTCAGTGTAAGTAGTATAGGCAAGAACGTCATGGATACGGGACAGTCTGTAATCAAGAGATGCTGGGATCGCTTCTAGTAATCAAACATCCAAGAAATTGACTCATGGCCAGCTGTTAATACTTACGAATCGTTTGGGACACATATCATGCGAGGCGGTCGATCGTAGGCATCATCGAACCCGGTTCCATGGTTAAAATTGCCATTTACATGCAGGTTTGATGAAAGGCATGAGGTGTCGCATCATCTCTGATTAGATGGCAGTTGTTCCACAAAATTGCACAATTAGTGATGAGGGGTTTTTCATGTCAACTCACTTTGAAATCGTTCAACGGTTGTATTTCGTTGAATATCTCAGTATTGTCCGGAAAATGGGCTATTGCCAATTTGGTGTCCTCAAAGTTCTCTCATTACGCAGATTAGGTCCGCTTTCTTCAAAAAAAACTTATTCCGAAAGCATCTCGCGAGACACCAAAGGCCACGGTGGCCCAAAGGACACGCGACCGATAGCTGGTGTAATGGATCGCATTGTCCTGGTTCTTGTAGGACTTTACAAACGAGGATCCTGTGTTGACCCCGCCGGACCATTCCAATGAGCTAGCTGCCATCGAGCAAGATGTTTTCGCGGCTTTTGATTGCGTTAATTCAGACTACAGTGTGCTGCGCCACCACGCCACTCGACCTAGCCAACAGCAGCCCCTGCTTTCTGTCTCCGGTGGAGTCAACGTAACCAGCAGCGACCGACCGCACACCCCTGTATCCCCCGAGAAACGGAAAGACAACAGCAACGAGTAAAGCGATGAATCAAATTTCTCCCGTCCTCAAATTCACCCGACGCGTCCCGTCGATCCTACTTGTTTAAGCGCCTTCCTCTCTCTCTCTCTGTCTAGATTAGCGCAATCACCCTAGACCTCCGTGTGTGCAATATTGCTCCCTCCCTTAATCGCCACTGTACATGTCCAAGGCGCTTTCTCGAGAGACGTTCAATTGAACCTGCTCTGTCTTTCCGATCCTGGTTGTTGTCTGCGTCTCTGATCTTCCTTGCCTCTCCCCTCCCTCAATCCTATTTCCCACCTGTGATCTTCCATTTGTGATCGATGAACCGAGCCTCCACAACCTCGCTCCCAACGCTTCTTCCATGTGTATGTGCATGTGTGTGATTAACTGCAACGCTGCCGATGACGATGCTACTAAAATGCAGCTGGATTTCTGCATTTCGGATTTCCATCGTGTCCTTCTCTTTTGTGTGTGTGCGTGTGTGTGTGTGTGTGTGCCTCTAACCCTCTGCTCTCTCTTCACAACCTCCTCGTTTGCTGGAAATGCTACTAAACCTTTGGTGATATATGCTGAAGAATGCGATGACGCCGTTGATTTCATTCCTTTGGCCACTCTTTTTTCCTCGCTGTTTCTTTCTTGGCTTTCTATTCTCTCCCTATTTTTAACTCAGCCCACCCCTTCACAGCGATCTTATCGTATGCATTTCCGACGTTTCTTAACTCCACCTTCCTTGCTTTCCTTTGACGTATCTATTAAAATCATAATTGCGACTTGTACACAGCTCTGCTTCACGGTTGGGTGGTCTCGTCCAAAAAATGTGGGAACTGCTTTAAAAAAAGCAGGCGGCAATCCACTAATTACGCATATTTCATACCTGCTTACGCAATTTTCTAAACTGCAGTGTTGGCACTAATGCCCGTAGTTGATGCCTCCACGGTTAAAAATGAGTATATTCAATTTATTTAAGGTATTCTGAACGAACTAGGCTAGGCCTGTTGGTGCATTTTTGTTCTCCCTTTGTGATATAGGTGATGTTGTAGGTACCAAAGACGCTCTAATTAGCCACTATTGAGCCGCAAATGAACGAAGCCCCGAGTGGTGTCTTTCGGTGAACTGCATCTGCATAATTTCTGCCGAACTGTGGATGAGTTTTGAGCCCATGAGCGTTTGGGTTAGGGTTTTCGCTGAGGCATCAAGTAACAGTACTTTTATTTCTGCAGCTTGTAGTCGTATTTGATCACACTCCTGACTATCAACAGTTCCGCGAATCACTTAAGCCTTCTTAAATATCGGTTTCAAACCTTAAGAGCTAACTTCGCCAGTGCAGCTAACTTCGACGCTACCAGACTCAATCTGGGGTAGGAGAAATATATAATAGGCAGAATGATAGGAAACACCGTAGCTTTGAAAAAAGTGTTTGATGGCATTGTTTGTTGGTTGTGGGAGCGTTGAAGCACCGAATGTCGTAGAGGTTCGTTACAACGGGCGGGATTCTGCGAAATGTATACAGGTCGCACCAGTCCCGAAGATACCCTAAGAATGCGCAGGAGGATGCAACATCGATGCTATTTACAATCTTACTTGGGACATTTAAGTAGACCATGAATTACCTGTGGGGTTGAGTTCAATTTAATACCGTTGGCCACCGGTCGGCATGGTTACAGGATAATGCTGTCGGTTTGGACTCGTCACTGGTTGACCTGTATAGAAATTATTACAAATTTAGGGTTCTTTCAAAGTAACCTCAACATAAAAAGGAGAATCGGCGGTAAATGTAGAAGTTAGTTGACCTGAAACAGAAATGCTTAAATATGTTCGCTTTGTTGGTTTCGAGGAGCATTACCAAACCTGCAATTTGCATACCAAGTAAACGCATCAAGATGATGCACCTTCCCTCTAAATACGGCCTTCATGTCCTGTTCAAATGAGGTTAAAGCAATAAATCATTGCGTGCACCAGCAAATCCTTTAGTTGGTAACTTATCGTTTTGAGCGTGTTAGTCTACAAGTATTGAGAGAGTAACAGCCTATGCTGTCATGTTTTGTGATATTATTTAGCCTCTTGATATGCACTGTCAACTTTCGGGAACTCACAACGGCCAATGTCATAGCTTTCTCTGACAGCATTGTAGGCAATCGATAGCAAGGTATATTTTGTACTAACGTTGGACAAATTGAGAGGGGGCTTGCAAGACACCTCCAATAAGTGGCGCGGTCGGGTGACAGGAGGGGAAGAAACGCTGGCCGGCCGAGGGGTAGGTCGGGTGGGGCTTCAGCTGGTGCTGCTGACATCCCGAGGAGCAGGAGTCGATGGAGTCGGTGTGCGCCGAGGAGGAGACCTCGCTGCCCCCACCGCCTGGCGCACCCTGACGAGCGCTCTCGTAGCCGCTGCTCCCCCGATCCCCACGACTATCCTTTTGGCCGTTTGGGCCGGACCGGCTACTGCTAAAATGCCAACACTTCAATCTAGAAATTGTACTACAACTTAACAGGCTACTTATGCATTGATTTACAGCTTACTAGTAAACTTTCCACTTGCATGGGATGTTCTATACTCACTACTTTCTACTAAAGACTAACTTTAGCCTTTTAATATTTTCCGCAGTTCTGCCGGGAAAATATAACTGTAAGTCCGTAAGTGTTGCTGTCAAATTAAGCACTCTGAGGTCTATTTGGATTTGAGAAAGTCATATTTTTTGCCAGAGAATTGGCGGAATGCGGCCTGAAATAAGTTACAGAATATGGCGACGGAGAATCCACAAAATTGAAACAATTTGTATGCTTACGTTCGATACGTGGAGAGGCTTTGATGCATTCTGTTCATAAACGAAGAAGCATTAGTAGAGCATATTGAAGGTGCCGGTTGAAGTAGTGGATGGTGAGGAGGTGGAGCCATTCGTTGGTACTGGGAGTATTTTGGCGCCCCGATCCCCTGATCACTACTTGGCGCCCGCGGAAAACCACTTTGTGCGTATGTACCGGGTAAAGAGGCATTAATTCGTAGAGGAGTCTTCACCGCCTCCTCTTTCTGCACTGCTGAGTCGGAGGCTTTCTTGCTCCTTCTTTCTTTCCTGCGTGCGTGCCACCTACGCAGTGTACAAATTATGGAGGGCAAAGTGAAGAACTTGGATTTCTTCGCTTCTTGCGGAATTGCCGAGGCAGAGGAAGAAGAGGTGTGGACGGGAGTGCCAGTGTCTGCTGAATCGCTTCGCCTTAATGCGTGAGGCTGTGGAGAAAGAGGGATTGTCCGTGACAGGTCAGAGGCTGCCGATGATGGAAGAGGGAGTTGAGAGGACCAGGCCTGCATGGACGAATGGAGAAAAGGAGAGGTGGGAAGGGACCAGGGGTAGTATTGCATTGGCGTGGGATGCGGGGGAGCGTACAATGAAGACCAAAAGGGCCTTGGGGGTGCCGGAAGTTGGCAGGGTGAGGAATGAGCAGTTGAGAGCTGTGAAAATTGTGCCGGCATCCAGGGAAAGGAGACCGTCCGCTGGGGAGCAAGGGGCACAGGAGATAGGGATGCTGCCTTCGGGATTCGGTTTTGGCTTTTAGTGGATCTAAAGGAAGAAAGACATAGTGTAATTTGCCTCTGAGGTGCGAAGCTGGCGAAACAAAATTGTGCTAGTGACGCTGCTGAAAATTCTCCCAAGTCTAGGCACAAGAACTTTACGTATACAAGATTTTGAATAGTATTTAATGAAATCGTGGTTAAATGCAAGGGTTAAGGTTATGTATTTTAAGTATTCATTTTGATTAGTATGCTACAAATGTCATGGGCTGGGTATATGGCGGAGCGCATAATCTCAGATGGTTCCAATTGCATTGGAGCTCATAATTTGCCCTGATAAACACTTAAAAATAACAACTAGTCAGTTGGTGTTAAAGTATTATGACTGACACTTCGGCAGTCTTGATCTCGTTCTTCGAAGTGTCACTGCGGGGAGGTTCATGGCTTGGCAGTTCACTTATTTGCATGCCATCCGATAGGCGTTCTGCTTCACAGTAGCCGCACTTTTTGCACGTTCTGGAACAGCACTTGTCCGCGACTTCACAGAGAGCACAGACACCTCGAGACTTGGAGCACTTGGAACAACTGATTTCATGATGATTGCTTCGGCGGTGTCGTCTTTTGCGATGGACCTGATGTCGTCTGGAGCAAAAGGATCGGTGACAAGAGGAAGATCGGCTTTCAGGAGGTAGTAGGCGCTCCTCATCTCGTACGTGGCCTAGATCGGTGCTTACATCCTTCACCCAGGCAGCAACACGGTCGAATGAAGAGGTGTTTGAGCGTTTCCTTCGGCGGGGGGAACGATTAGACGCATTGAGCCTTTCCGAGCAACATGTGGAGGTCTTACTGGTCATCTGCTCAGATGTAGGATGATCCGTGGAAGTGGCCTTCTCTATGCGTTGCGCTGTAGGCATCGTTGGACTCCTGTCACGTGTACAGAAAACAACAATATAAGGCAGATCGTAAGATCCCAGTTCTAGCGAAACACAATTGGTCTGGCCAAGCACTATCAGTGACAAGTCAGACCAACAACGGGATTCATAGCCATCGATTTTCAGAAATTGGGAACAAGAGAAAAACATACCCTGATTGATGCATGGGAGTTGGTTGATCGTCTGTAGGTATAGGAGACGCCACCCCATGTCCAGTACTCGCCGGAGCATGCTAAAAATAAGCCTCAGCTATACGGATCTTCAATTTTCAAAGGTCCAGGTTTACAAGATCGACCTACCTGGGGGACTGCATAGGAGGGACGCATAAATGACAATTTGGGGGCCTCCAATATGGCATCGGTGAGATGCCAACCAAAATTGCCTTCGTCTAATTAAAAAAATTACTTAGTGAAAGTAACTGAATAGCAGAAAGCAAAATAACGTCATTGAGCAAGGTCGAATTTTGACAGCAACTACATACCTCCGGACATCTGAACAGACAAACTGCATTGAAAATGAAAGCATGGCGATGATATTAATATTACTTCAATGTTTTCTCAAAAAGATTACAAAGGAACTTCAAAACGTACACATGGTGATCATGGTACTTACATGAAAGACGACTGAAATATTTATCCTAATTAAATGACCAAAAAAATGGATTCGGAACACGAATTTCCTCCAAATCACGAAAATCGATATCGCCTACCTTTACCTTTTTCCTGGTAAAATTGCTTTTTCAATCTTAAGAATCCATTCGATAATTGGGCTGCTACCAGTTGTAGTCATTTTCAGATTCCAATTTTTTGGTTAAACCTTCGGATAATGACACGCAGAAGTCACTCTAACTTAGGTGTTCTTAGGAAATCACTCAAATAAATTAGGTTCTTGAACAATCTCCTTTAATTCTCAGAATAAGCATTGTTATTCAAATTGAGTCTAGTTCTACTGTTTTGTGAGTTTCAGTGGGCAAAATAGGCCACAGAGGGAATCATAATATTTCCTGTTTTGTAGGATAAAGGTGCAAAATTAGAAAGAAAGATACAAAATTAGGTCATAGCATTATTTTCGTAAAATTGAAACCCACAAAATTGGGATAAAGATTATGGAAATTAAAACAAGATCACGCCATTGTTCTCTCTGTCAGATACAGATTTAAAATTATTCCCGAGCTTGGTTGTGATTTCGCTATTTTTACAGATTGAACTCGCACTAAAATTCTTGGCAGCATGCTTTCTGATCATGCACCCTTATCGTGCACAGTGCAGAATTTCACAGCCGCATCTACCGCAATGTTCATCGTTGAAATCGCAACGTTAGTGGGTATAGATTTGTGTTTTTTGTCCACTAATTTAAGCAGCCTAACGTATTGGTTTCTAGTCAATTTGTGTCCAGTAGTCCTAGAACATAAACACAAGCGAAGCTTTTTTTACCTTGTGGGTGTCAGTTGCTAGAATATGCATCCAAATACTAATAGTAATTGCTCACCACACGTTTTTGTGCCTTCCTCACTCACGAGGCCGCTCTGTTGAATGGCCAAATCAAGCAGGGTGTTTTCATGGTCCTCTTGGGCTCCACCAACGATACTACTTGGTGCAGACGTTCCTCCTTCAGTTTCCTCTGTACGTTCGCTGATGTCCGAGAGCACTCCAAAACCTCGACCACCACCTCCACTGCCACCGCCACCACCACTACTACCACTACTCACTCCTCCTCTACCAGTATCACTGTGTGAGGATACACTGATTCTCTTAACCTCTTCGCGACCGTCATCATCGTCTGAAGAAGAACAGCTTTCACTGGAGCTGCTTTTGCCTCCACTATTTCCGCGGCCTTTTGTCTCATCGATGGTGGCGTAGGTAGGTTCTTTGATCTGTACCTCATCTGTGATATCTGTTGGGGCGACGAAGATACGAACGGTTTCCGAATTTTGCACAGAGTTCTGAGGGACAATGTGGTGAGTAAAACCAAAGTACGGCGGTGCAGGTGGAGGAACGCTTTCAGAAGTGTTATTTCGTTGCTCTGTTGCAACCACTGCGTTGGGACCGTCTACCCAAGTTTCCTCAGTCGAACTGACTACTTCCTTTCCCTTGCGCACGGCCGCTGCTCGTGGCCAAGCTGTGGCGTTGGTGCGCGGGGTCACTCGCTTAATCAGGAACCCCGGTCGAAGAGTGCCCTACAAAATCAATAAAGACTAAGCATCCGTTTGTTTGGCGTTTGAGCAAAAAAAAGTTATCCCTTAAGGAAGCAAACTAAACGTACGCCTCCATCCGACTGGGACAGAGATCGGCCAATCCGAGTCTTTCCTGAAACCGCTGACCGTTCGAATGTCCCCTCCTCTCCAGAACTGGCATACATTTTCCACTCGTCCGCAGAATGGACCACGCCACCGTCGGCAAGTCCTCTGGGTTCCAGGGGACTCTCGGTCTCACTGGCCCCACCGACGCCGAGGTAAATGACGGTATCGCCTGCGCAGGACTGCTCGCTACTCGAGGTGTAGTCGGTTGTGGAGGTGCCGAATGAGGAACGACCAAGACGAGGACGCATCGACATACGAGATCGAATGCTCCTGCCTGAGGCGGAGGAATCGGAGGTCGTACTGCCGACCACGGTTGTGGAGCTACTGCCTCCCACATTACTGCCACCGCTACTGCCAACTCGACGTCTACGAAGACGATGAAGGCGGGAGGCCAGTTGCACAATCTGAACGAAATCAGGTAGAGGGAGAAGGAGTTATGCCTACTTAAAATTCGTGTGAACCCTGTGTACTTATCGTCACCAGATGCGTAAACCTAAGGTTCCGCAATGCACTACGTACAGATGATATTTACAATGTCATTGTAAACCAGTTCATTTAGAAAGTCTTACCTGTAGGGTCTCAGAGTAGTGTTGCTGCTGGCCCGAGGCGTGCGCAATGATGCAGGGCTGAGCGTGATTACCCGTCATCCCCTCTCGTAGCAGTTGAGTGACAGCTGACTCCCTATGTGGGAGGTGGCGTTGTCCAGTAAGCAATCCAAGCAGCACATTCGCCATGTTTGACAGGGACAGACTCTTCATAGTTGTCGGAGTAGATGCTTGGTCATAGTTTTGTCCTGGTTCTTTAGAGCTGTAGCGGCCGCATCCCAAGTGAAGTAGCTGTAAGCGACTTCTGCCTCCAGAAACTAAAGTTATACGCGCGCATCTACTTATATAAGTTCTGAGTAGACAGTATGTTCTGATAGCAGCACTTTAATATTTACCCTCGGTTTCCGCTCCATTTTTCTCGACCTTGTATTGGTAAACATGTAGAGTAAAGAGGGTATGGGAGATAGACACATTTTGGGCACGATTGGCCAAGGCAACGTCCAGCAAGTGGGCGGCATGGTCTGCTGTAGGGGAACGAATTTCGGTTAATTTGTCCATGGCCAGACTCAGTCGGGCCGCCGGTGAGTTGTCATTGCTGGGTGAAGCCAAGGGCTTGGCATGGCGAGTGGGGCTGAAGTCACGAAGGCAGCTGCTTGGGGCGGGAACTGGTAAGTGGTCTTCGTCACCTGCATGTAAAATATGTAGCATGATTTGCTGGATATTTGTAAAACTGTGCATCATGTGTGCCTATGAATCAAGCTGCAGTACGGCAAGGTTCGGCTTCCACGTTGATTTGCACCAAGGTTCAAGACCGAGCCCGCTTTGTACAGAAAAACCAAGGCTGTCGATCAAGTTTCACTGACCATTTTGCATGTATTGTCAGGTCAAAAGTGGATTTTGGGACATGGCGGTCCAAAGACCACGCGATTGATAATCAAGACAGACCGAAACACACAAATGCGCGCAGCCTCGTTGTAAGATGAACAAGGACGTCGGAAACGGTAGATAAACATTCCTTTTGCACGTCATGAAACCCGAAACCCCACCTCCCTCCCCCGCCTGGATACATCATCGGCCCCTCGGCGGAAGTCCCCACCACACTGGAAACCCTAACTGCTGTTGCTTTGTTTCCTGTCTCGACTATCCCGTTACAGGGACCTCAAAAAGCTGCAGTTGGAAACGAATTAATTATGTGAACCTCACTTACCTCGCATCTAAGGGATAAAACGGCACAAAAAACCGAACACTGCACACACAATGCCTAAATACCTACATTTTGCCGTAGAGGCACCTAAATGCACATCGTAGGATGTTTTATGGGCAAACTTCATGAAGAGAGTCTAAAAGTTATTGGTTCCTAAAATTATCACCACCAACTTCAATGCCTAACGAAATCTTTACGTGGGATCACGGCACGGACCGAAATGAGGCCTTCTGCAATTTGAATCCACTGCAGACCATCGCCACCACACAAAGCAAGTCAGGTATCTCAGGATTACGCTAATGTTGCGAACCAGTCAACGCAGGGCAATCACCATGACAGAACACAACCTTCTCATACAGAAGACCTTGTGAGTTATAGACGGGTGGAACAAACCCTTCGATCAGGGACTCACATGTCACCTCAGCTGAGTTGGTATTCTAATTGTCTTTAGCAAGTCAGATATTCAGCATGGCAGATCTAGTTGATCATGGCAATAGTGTGCAAGGTTGAATCAACATTTAAATAGGTTTCTACTACGATAACAGTGCTCCATGTAAAGCGTCCCTTATCACAGTCAATGTGCATACTACGAGGTCTCTGTGCGAAAATGGAGCAAAGAGTTGCGCATGGCCTTCGTTCCGCTTGTCATGTGGAAAAATACCACTGGGTCTTTCATGTGGGAGCCTCGCCGACACCACATGCGCTGTCGAGAGGTTGTGCCCCTGCACTAATGAATTATCCACACTTTGATAAATTACGCAAATAAACGCTACATTGCATGGGCACTAATTTTCCTGCCAAACCCTTGTTTCTACCAACTTTGTGGTATTTAAGATGGCGAATTCTACCAGGAAGGGATATTTTACCGTTTATTGGGTACCTACATGCATAGCGTAAACATTTGAGCGAAACAGATACCCACAAGGGCATTATTTATTAATAATCACCTGGTTTTCGACATGACAATTGAAACATTGACATCGTTACTGGAAATTAAGCGTTTGCCTTAATTCAAATCTGCTGCACTCCTAAATTGCCGTTTCCGTAAGGAGAGAGGACGAAAATAAAAACTCACTTTATCCAAATAACCAAACGAACCGTTGCATTAAATAGACAAAATGACTCAAGTCAAGATTGGTGCTTTTGACAGTGTTTGTGTCGAGAAATAAATTATATGCCCTTCTCATGCACATCAGAATGACAGTCAGTTAAGCCAAGGTAAATGGGTGTATGGAAATGCGCCTCCGACACCCGACCGGTCTACTGTAAACATCCTTAAGACCAGCCAAGAAACCGCATTTTAAGTAATCGAGCAAAAGTGAGTGTCCGGTCGAAATAGTTTTTTTCGGCATTTCAGTGGCCGCACACTTCGTTCGCACGATTGGACACGACCGAAGGACACTTTCCGACGAAGGGGGAGTAGTTCGCTGTGCACGAGACCACATAGCCTGGTGCTAATGAAACAAGAATCTGTCCGTGCAAAGGAAGTAAGCAATGGATGTCTTTGTGCTGGCTCTTAATGACTTCTTTGGTGGACATCGGCCGCCAGTTTAATGTAATTAGCATAAATTGGCACTTGGATACTGCGTTCTGTTTGACCAAATTCCCACTTAATTCCTGTTCATAACTGAAAGTACTCAGTGGGAGATTTTCATCGGATCTACGGACTGATTGAACTTCATCATTTTCCCTTCCAGATCAGTGAGTTGTGATTTTGTAGTTCATGAGTAAAACAATAATTAATTCAATAAGCTTTAAGATCATAAAGTACATCCATCAAGAAGATCATTTTCTCCATTGAATTACGGAAAGTATTTACCATAGGCAGCCGACTCCTGAAGAAGGTCTTTGAAGGCCTCGTCCTGACCAAAGACCTCAACAGCGGACACTCGGATAGAGAAGCGTGTTTTAGATTTCGCCTTCTGTTCTTCCACGAGACGAAAAAGCCAGGCGATGGCACAAGGAATTACGCCTGCGGTGACTACTGACGCATCCGAGCCCAACATCGTCCTCGTTTTCCCTATGTGTTGATAAATGAAATATGTTAAAACCAAAATTCCCCAAAATTCGTACGCAGATCTATTCACGCTGTTACTTCATTGACGGCTGAGCGACTTTTGTTGGATGAACCGCATAACAAACCTGCTTTTGTGTTGGCTTGGATATGAAATTGGTTGGGTTTTAAGGTTACTCGGTTTTAACGGATTGGCCTTTTAAGATGGTCTCCTCGAATTTATTAATATTCTCACACCTCGTAACCATTTTTCGCGAAAACATTCGCCACAACGCCTCGGTAAAGCAGTCACTTTCAGACATTACTGTAAAAAGATACATTTTCATTTTACAAAGAAACTCATAGCTAGGGCTACCACATTAAGCCATAAGCCTTACGTTTGCCCTACAATATTATTGAATCACCATTGCAACATTTTGACTTAAAATGATTAAAGACGATCCATGAGCCGTTGCCGAAGGGCACATTTATGCTAAAGGCCTTTGATGCTATACGTTGAATTAATTTACCAGCTTCTCACTTTGCATGTTCAGGGTTAATGTAAATGTCATTTTTTTCTAGAAGTATGAAAACTTCCAAAGGTTATCTTAATTAGGAACTGTTCTTGTAAGGATCACCTCCTCTAACTGAGACTAAATATACTTCCCGCTACACGAAAAGTGGCAAATCAAACGCACGAATCTAAAAACTGGTCATCTGAAAGCTATCAGGGAGCGCCAAGAGCATGAGAAACCTGAGACAACATCTTGACAGTCGCGGGGATGTTCTGTGCATCGATGTGAGGCCAGGGCATGAGACGCACGCGCTGTCGCCAGTTGCAAAAGTGGAAACGTGGGAAGCCGAGAGAACTAGAGCTTTTGATGAGGTCGGTAAAAGAGAAATAACTGGACTCACATCAAAAGCCAGCGGGCTTCTTAACAGCTGTACATTATTGAGGTGCAGGGTACAGAGGTGGGACGGAACAAACCTGAAACTAGACTTCACCACACTACGGGTAGTGTAAATGCTTCCATTGGAACCAATGAGAAACGGCGGAATGGGCAATCTTAAATGCACATTGAAGCAGCAATAGCTTATTTTAGTACAGAGGCCAGGCGAATAATGAGTTGTAGCCTTGCATGTACTTTAAAACGAGCATTAGCTTTGATCTTCCCTCAGACAGGCAATACGAACATTTCCGTCAGACTTGATTGTGGACGATCTCCCCCCTTCTTCTCACACCGGCACCTTTTAGCACTCGCCTCAGCAACCAAATCTCTTGACGTTTCAACAGTAAATAGAAGCCATCAACAGGGTAGTTGGGATGATTTAATTTGCCCATATGAGCAACCGTTAAATGTTACACCCTCAGCTGCTGAGTGTCAAGGATTGCCATCAATAGGTCTGGTTTCTCAGCAGGAAATATTTTGCTTGCACACAGCTTCGATTAAACCAATGGTTTTATTTAAGAGCCAAGAAGTTTTGATGTTCAAACCAACGCTTAGGCAAACTCACCTAAATGAAGTTGAACAAACCCAAAGCTGACACTGTTGTAGTTGCACTAAAGGGACAAACGGATTCGTTGCTCAACGTCTAGCAAGTAGGAACAAAATGATTGACATTTCGGCCAAACCGGCTTTGACAAGACGCCACAGCCTACTATTCAATGGTAGTTCGCCTTTGAGGAAGAGGAATTCTTATGTTCCAATTTCAAATCGGCCCGAATTGTTTACGAATCAACCGCCTTCTACCTTTTCCTTTGCAACTTCCAAGGAAGTTGCTTTTCGATATATTAAACATGACTGCGTGTTTCTATTTTGCTATCTGCCCTCAAGTGCCCTCAAATATGAGGAGTTGTACCCACTTGGTAATCGAAAAGTAGCATTAGTTTTCGTAACAAAGTTAAGCTAAAACTAATTAAGTAAAAAAGGTATTAAAATTGGCTCTAGAGAATCTGTTCCATTGAAAGACGGTATTTACGATATCGTTAAACGTTTGCAAAAGATCTATGATGAGATCAGAAGACGAGATAATGCGAAAGCTTATCCCATCGACGTATTTTACGACGTCATGGCAACCGTGAAAAGCTCAAAATTCTTAACTACCACAAAAGCCCGTAGACTTCTTGAAAATTTTAACGGTTGAGAAGTGAGACGATTTTGTGGACAACCCTTCACTATGCAGACGCATTACGGAAATCAAAAAGTTTTAAGACCGAGTGCGTTGAACAACGGGATTTTCCCAGTTCCGCGATAGTTTTGCTGGAGAATCGTCTCACATTTACCACATTTAAGTATTTTAAACTTAATAAAGAATGATTCCGATTTCTGATGCTACGGCTTACTTAGAAGAAAACGCTGCCATGAAAACGCGCTTCTTGCAGTCCAACATCAAATCTGTTAACTACGCCCGTAGAGGTCAATAAAGGCTTTAATATTTCTATGTGTAGTTTGATTCCGCCGATGGATATTGAGATAGTGTAACTCTAACGCTAGGAACACACACAGTGTCTTTAGCCTTTAGAGCACGACCATCCCTATTAGCTTACTTCGGGGACGCGAATTTGAGATTTTTAAGCGCTGCTTAGCGGACAAACGATGCCTTTCTTGAAGGTGTTTTCACGATAGACGAAGTCTAGGTAGCAGTGGTTGTCGTTGGAGGTCTCTTAACTCCAGGATAAAGGGAAAACACGGGCATGTTTGTCTGGAACAGCTGGAGGACACAGAGAAGCACAGAGGATTTTTTTCTATGGTTTATTGCCTGGCCTAATTAAGGGCTCACACGCACTAGAAGAGTAAATATTGGTGGCATTTGGCCAAACATCAAGGCCACGCTAAGTGAATCGAGTCGTAGATTAGGCAAAAAGGTAGGTAACAATTGCGCCCTTACAGTATTCCTATAGTTCCACATCCGCTATTGAACAACACTGGGTGTTCAGGCATATTACATTTACTACATTTAAAATTTTTCTCTTCTTTTAACAAGACTGGCGGGGCGATACTACAAAGGAAGCTGTGTTTAAAAGCAAGCACATGGAAAACTGCCACGGCAGCCACACAAGAGAAAGACGGCTATGGTTGAATTAAAGCAAACTGGTCGACTAGTCATTGTTAGATTTCCCTATGAGCCATCAACGACATTGTGAATTTCATTGACATGCTCCGACTTATATACACCTCTCAAGTTCGAACACTTGGTCAGATGTCTGAACAAAAAACCCGGTGACCTTGGGCAAGCCAATGAGTTGTGTGATCGATTGCTACGGAGAGTATCGGCTGCAAAAATATATCGGTTAGATGCATAAAGATTAACTTCACTCTGTATTAATGCGATAAACAAGGATGTGCTCAAGAACGACCTGAATACACTTGAACTCGCATCGTTCATGTGCAAGCACTTAATCGCTCTTACAGGCACTCAGAATTTCAAGCTGTACAGATGCTTCCTGATTCCCAATATTGTACATTTGGTAATTTCACAACTTTGTATGAGGTAAGATGTTAACAGGATACTGAAAATTTACAAAGTGATAATGACTGTGGCTCGGGAAACAGGTACTGAAATCAATTTTATGCGTCGGAATAATTCGCGCCTTCAAACCAGCAACATGCTTTCAGATATTGCCAACTTCAAAACGTGGTTTAAATTTTCATTTATTCTTAGGAATTAATATTAACAAGCTGTCATCAATTTCCACAACACTTGATCAAATATCGACCAAGGAAGAAGGCCGTGCCAAATCGGTCAAGTGCTTAGGAGTTGTGACTGTGTAGTGTCATTACCGAAAAGTACAAAAATCGACAATTGGAATCCTTCCACGCTGAGATTAGCGATTAATCATGCTTTATGTGACTGAGTCCCGGTGGCAACTGAAACTACTGTAGGTTTGAAAAGTAACAGGTCTATAAATTTGCACATTCCTTCTGTTGCAATGACGCCTGTTATCTACAATCAGCAAAACCAGCAGTTTTGGGGCAATAAACCATATATTCTAGACGCACCTGTTTTTGCATGGCCGAAGGAGAGCACACAGCTATCAGTCCCATGCACGACAGAGTAGACCGCATCTGTTAGAGCGGCGGAACACACCTCGGCCTGCAAACCAAAGTGAAAACGATTCTTAATGGCAGGAAAAGCAGGAAAGGTTCAAATCTATGCAAATAAGTATGTGTGAAGTCGACACAGCACATACACAGCTCAAACAGATTCATACGGACGATCCTTGCTGACGCGTTTGAAGGGAGTGGTCAGTAATATTTTCGCTATCCCAAGCACGGCTGGATCGATCGTATTCAAATCGTAAATAGAATCGATAGATCTTGCATGATCCGCGAAATCCGATTTTTGAGGATCAATTCATCAATCTATTCAACACCGGCATTTAATCAAACTTCTGTTTGCTAGATATTTATCGGTTCTCTTTGAACAAATACACTACAGTGCCTTAAGTCTTGCGAAATTTAATGCCATAGTAATTCTAGAAGTGACCCCTAACTGGTTTTTATCCGGACATTACAAATAAACAAGTATAAAATCTAGGTGTTCATTGGTTGACAGCCGAGCATTCCTACGACGTTGGTGACTCATTGAAGTCACGCTGAGTTTCCAGCATCTGGGTCCCTCTTGTGCTTGTCTAGGTTCCGATAATGGGGTGGAGGGGGGGAGTGACAGTGGCAAAATGGCTCGTTACAGAATCGGTTATGAACAAGGGGGAGGTGACTAATAAAAGGATCACCCTCCTCACCGCAAAAGAAAGTAAACAAGTTTTGACCTGAAAGTAAACTCATTTCAGACAAGGCCACACATGGAACATCAACTGCGACATGTTTTCCGTGAGCGGCCATGCCACAACACCAGCAATGATAACAGCTACCAGACCTAGATTACAGCGTGGGTTTCCACAGCACAAGGTGGCCGGTGTTTCGATCATGCTTCAGGTAACGTTAAATAAAGCACACGATAAGTTGGACTATTTAAAAGATCTGCATAGCGCTCCTTGTGAGTTTTTGACCCTGTGTTGGGTCATCATTAAAACTCCAGTGGATGCTTTTTCCTCCTGCAAAATTAAATGGTTCCAAGTAGCACAGTAATTTTAATTGACTAAGTGCAAATACTCGAGCAGTGAAATTATAATTTGTCAAACCGATCACAAAGGGTAACGCTTCCGTTTTTTAATGAAACAAGATGTATAAGGTCAGATAGATATGCAAAGTATTTTACCTGAATAAAGAAATATCCAAAGAGGATATTGACATCAATGAACACTGATGATACTTATTGAAATTAATATCAACTTTTAGTATTGTCTTTCTAATCTTACTGCTTTTGACATTAGACTTCGGAGCTTAAGAACCTGAGAGAATCCAAGTTTAGAAAGAAGAAAGTAAAAGTCCACTTCACGTGATTTTTTTGCGTAGACTTCAAATGCCCTTCAAACTGGACAGGGCGCGTACGCGAAATGTTTTTCTAGGTGATAATTTATATGGAAGATCTCAGGGGGATCGGGTGCAACCTACACAAATAGCCGCCATACCTCGGCGTAAAGCAGTAAAGCTGCAAAAAGTAATGGGCAGCTCATATGATTCATCGCCAAAAAACACACATCGGGGGCACACCAGTACATTTTACCGCAAGTCTTCTTTTGCTGCTTTCACATGAACCTGACCACGATTTTTTCGTCGTCTCAGTCACTAAGATGAAAGCAGACGCACAGCGGCAGTAAACGTCGTCTTTTCTTTCATTTTGCCTTCCCATCAGAAAAACGGTACACAGGGGCTCAGCAGAGCTGCCTAAAGGGGGCCGCATTCTTTGCCCAAGCAATGGCACGCACAACCGTTGCGCTGACACGCGCACTGCGGTCGCGCACGTGCGCACGCGTCAGCTGTTAGCAGCACCAGCAACAAAGAGGAGGGCGGGGTGGGTGAGGCGGGAGTTTGCGGCGCATCAAAACTACGTCTGTGGGTTAAAAAAGTGCGATACGGAGAGACACCTAACCCTTCAAGAGGAGGCCTGGGAAGCGGCCTTCACACATTCATACACGCACACACAAACACAAAAGCGGACACGAAGGAATCCGCTGGAAATGTGTATTGCTTCTTGAGGGAAGGTAGCTGATCCCATTGATCGGAACGTGAAGCGAATCAGCTCAAAGTGAAGAGCGACGTGGCACAGATGCAAGTACAAGCAGGAAATACAGTAAGTTGGCGGTAATTTTCATTCAGGCAATTCGCACTTTGAGGTTTCTAGGTATGCAGGCATAAAAGGAATGGCCCGTAACAAGTAACACTTCTATTCGATTAAAACTAAACATTTTCAGTGGCGTAATAGCGCTGACGAATAAATGTAAGTAGTTCAGGCGGTCTACATTACTCCACTAGACGCCACCCGATCACTAAAAAAATTTTAATGCGTGACACTTGATGATGACTGAATCGGGGTTAATAAATTAAACTAAAAACAATAACCCTCTTAATTTGGGCTTAAACCCCATGATTCAAGGTCCACAAACCGTCGCGAATACAATATGCTTCAAGGGCCATGGGGAATATGATGCTAGATGTCAAGATAAATTTTTAGGACATTGAAACCAATAATTTTTAAACGAAGAACCGAAGAGACGACATTGATCTTTTTAAAGCATAAACAATGAGGAAGCTGACACAAATCATCAATGAAAAAGGTAGCAGATATAACCCCTCAAACATCAGTCCAAAACTCCAGTCCTGCCAGAGCAGTGCTGAGATTTTGATGATGATTCAAAGTAGCATTGAGAAAAGTAACTAACCAGTGGATCGTCTTGCGTGAACACTGCATCGAAAGTGAACATTTTGGGGGCTGTTAAACTAAAGCGCCGACGACTTGGTGATGGGTGGATCAGTGTGACCTGTTTCCGTCGCGGGGCGATGGAGACACAAGGGTTCGAGCTGGCACCCATCGTAGTGATAGAGTTTAAGCTGGAGGCTCCTTCAGGTTTGCCCACATCATTAGACAACGTAAGGGGCATTTTAACACATAGGATGACTTTTACCTAAAAGGTAAACAAAAAATCCAGAGGTAAACATGAATCGAAATGGAACATAATCGAAACACTTATACTAGCTTCAATGCAAGATTACTGGAAACCTTATCAGATCAAATTTTACAAATTAATACGCCTAGGGCGAACTTCGTAGACCGCATCGTGTGTAACCACACACATTCGTTTTAAAATAAAAGGATTTTCCCATAAATTGCGCACATATCTTACTTGAACTTCGTTTTAAACGGGATCATAGCATAAGAAACACAATTATTACTTTTCTCCTTCTCTCTCGACTTAATTAAATACGACGGCAGGGGCCAAAGGCAGTGGCGAGGAAATTCGATCCATTTACATCCCGTACACAAAACCGCTTGTTTTTCATTAGCGAAAGCGGCAAGATGTACGGCACATTGTCTTACTTTGGGCTCCAGGGTAATCAGAAGATAGGCGCCCTCGGCCTACTTTTGTCAGAAACTTCACTTTTATTAGCTTGGTGGTAAAAAGAGGTGAGTCACTATGCCTGAGCCATTAATAAGACGTGTAAAATGGCAGATGTGGTGAAATTTGCGGTTTTGCAGAAGACCTCAGTTTATGACCCTCTTCCCCCCACACCCACCAGGATTATTTTAACAGGCTCGTCGTAGCAACCCACAAAATATGCCGAGAGTTGCACATAAAGGCCACTAAACGTGGTACTTAGCAGACCATATGACCAAGTGAAGGGCATGGCAAAAAAAAGTGTCAAGCAATAAGCAAGAAGTCTTGAGAGAGAGCTAGACAGCGGTGCTATTCGTCCACTTAAAGTTAATTTACGCACTACCTTCCATTACGTGACCTCGACGCGGCACAGATGTAAAATATTGTTTTGAGAGATTTATCTGGTAGTCAGATTTTTGATATGCGGTACTTACCTAACGATAGGGTATCCAAGATCTGGTAACGAAGTTGCACCCAATATGTAAGTTAAAATCAATACCAACACTGACATAATACAAATATTTAAATTAACAGACTTTCAGTCGGAACTTGGTTTTATTTGCGAAGAATTAATACCTCAGGGAGACATCCACTTAAACCACCTGGTAATAAATAAGATGAGGGCAGGTTGTTAAATTTTTTGACTTATTTCACGAACAAAAGGAAGCTTCAAGAGTGATTGGTCATATTTTCCAAGAGTGGTAAAAAGGGGGGGAGGAAACGGGCGGCCAAATACCTTCACAGAGCCCCTCTCGCTAGATTTTTCACAAATGAGCAAAAACGTGAGACTCCGACACTAACTTTGCGCCTTCCGAATCAGTGGCTTTCTGCTTGGTGTCGCAGTGACTAACGCCAAACTCACTCGTCCGGACGAAAAAACGGGCACGAATTCAGTCTAGATTTCCTAGGGTTTTTTTTTCAAGAAAGCACCAGTAGCAAAAAAATAGCATACCCAGGAAGAGAATGACTCAGTAGCGGAGACATGGAGATGCAACAAAATAATCCGTACGCAGAACTGGCGGAGATCTTAGGTGAAGAGGTATTGGCAACAGCGTAGTGTATTTGCCCCTTCTTTCGCAAGGCACGCGTGGGAGACCAACAGACAACTAAGCATGCCACTCTTAAGTGTCTTTAAGGGATGATGAGCAGATAAGATTGTAACTGCCCCCGACAGCTCTGACAGTTTATCTGCCTGCCAAAATAATTAGAAGGAAGATGGCCACACACAGGCACGCGCACAATTGCACGCGTCAGCAGCCGAAAGAGTGGGCTTGTCACCTGGACTAGGCCTGGACACGACAAATCAAATTTTCAGTCACACTACTGTTTCAATTTTTAAGAGCATATTAGAAAAAAAGTAAGGAGAACTGTCTGAGTTAGACTGAGTCTGTTTTCTTCCCACTCATGATGTCAGAAAAGCGGTTTCCTTCTTTCGACGAAGTTGATTTCAGACCCATTTATCAGTGCCGAAGACACGAAAACTGAATGGAAGTTTGGGTAACAGTATACAATGGATATTTGCTTAGCTATAACATTTAAATCTTGAGTAATCTCTCAGCTCTTTCACATGGAACGGAATAGAGAGGATCCACTAAACAATCTTACAGGAAACGGAACCACATTTAAACTCTTTAGTCCATATTTTAATTTGGCCCCAACATACTCAGGTTTTGTCAGTCTTTTCAGCACATACAACAAAAACATCTTACATTACTTTGATATATTTGTGACACAAATAATTTTATTGTTTATAAAGGGAAGCTTATCGAATTCGACTGGGAAAATTTTGACCTTTTAAGGAGAATAAATTGAGGGCGTTGCATGGCACTTGGAAATATTTAATACTACGAGTGGCTTCTGTGTGCAGTAGTGCAAATACAGGGGCGCAACACAAAAGGGTTGTGTAATTGATGGAGTAACATTTGCACGTGCATTCCAGGTCCAGTTAAGCTACAGAACAAAAAATATACCTGTGAAATGTACCGGTTCAAACGACACACTTTTAACCAATAAATCTTTTCTTGCAAATTCCGAAGCTTAATAAAGCCACCAAGGTAATGTGGTATCTCGGGTAGCTCATGTGCAAAGCCTAAAACTATTAAATAATTTGAAAATGAAGACGCGCATTACATGAAGGCAAACCACAGAAACGGATAATGAAAGTAAGATTGATACTATCTGTACTAGGAGGTGTGCGGATTTCATAATATGTGGGATGGCGATATCACCGTGTGGTTGAAACGCTATGCTGCCAGAGCAAGGGTCGCGCCATCTCTGTGTACAGAGAGAAGTGGAAACGTCAGTCAAGCAGGGACTGGGGATGGAAATATTGGCGTGGTTCGGTGTACCAGTTTTCTCCACGAGAACCCATGTGCAAATGTAGCCAACAGTCATAACGATTTCGTAATCCCCGCAGAAGCAACAGCGGCAGCCACACAGCCATACTAACGTGTCATTGGTCGGGTTCAAGTAATGAGAAAACCGCGCGTAAGTCGTTCCGCTCAAAATTAGAAGCGCTTTCTCGCCAGCCACACTCTCGATTGCGTGTGTATTTATCTACCCGAAACCCTGAGACCCTGTTAAAGTAACCTTTTTGTCCTGCCTATAGTAAGCTCCTTTTAGACGATGAAGCCAATAAACATCATCTTGGGTATTGATTTGGTTAAATATGCAAATGTTTCAAGGGGTGTCTGATGGTCTAAAGATAATCGATAATTTGTATAAAGATAGAAGCAAATTACAACAAAAGAGGACTGAATCGGATAGGCGCGTTAGTGGTAATTTTGAGTGGTGTGGAAGTTTGAATTTTTTGGAGTGTGCCACACGCGAGGGAAATGCAAACATTTTCCTACGACTGACGACCTCATTACCTGGCTTACAGCACCGCGCTGTTAACATGAATGATTCAGAATAAAGGCGGTTTGAACGACATGTGAACGACCTGCTGCGAGAGAGAAAGCGTGTTGTAACAATTCTAATGGCAAGATCCTCGAAATGAGGACTCTAGACGACATATTGTAGTCAGGCAGACAAGGTATTAGACATGTGGATGGTGCCGTTGATTTAATTTTCTAATGGCCACCAAGTGGAGCTCAGCATCAGCCCAGACACCATGGGCTTATGAAAAATGACACCACAGTCACAGTCTTAATGTTCGGGACTGCAGCAGGGCACTAGGGAAGCTTTGATTTCAATAGGAATTAAGAAATGACAAATAACATACGGACCTAGATGGATGGCTGCCTAATGGTTACTTCGCGGGGCTATTTTAGCGGCTGATGCTTTACCTGCTTCAAATGAGTACCACCTTTCAAGGAGTTGGGACATGCTTTCATCGATTTGACTTTCTGATAACCTTTTACTTTAGAAAATGGGTATAGGTCAGCTGGGTTTCAAATCTCGAAACGCCAATGAACACCGATTGTAATGTTTGGTACAAGCAATAGGACTGCATCACACTTAAGGATGCCACCTGTACATTGACTCAGTAAGGCTTTGAAGTGATTTAAAATTTTGAATGACAATGCAAAACACTTAATTTGAGTCCCGAAGAGATGAATTTGCCCACAGTGTCATTTTGAAAATCTCATGGATGCATTGAAAGCCCACCGAACCAATACTCAAACATGTATCGAATAACTCAAATATTTGGCCTAAATGCATACAGAACAACATGGCAGGGCAGGTCGGAAGGCCAATCTTTGGCTCGACGTGAAAACAACGCCATTTCACCTGTAGGGTCACAAATAGGCGTGTCACCAACGCCACTGACGACTAACCCGAGGCATGCAGAGCCACGGTTCGCCAATTAGTTTACGGGTGGGTTTTCTATTTTCGGTGAATAAGCATTGTGATGCATTTGCTGAGGTGGTGAACAGCAGAGCGGTTGTGCGAAGCCTAATTCAGGCTGCAGTAGTTTTAATTACCTTGAGTAGTTGCATTCAAATTAGCAGTCTCCTACCAAGGGCGTGAATGCAGCGAGAGCGGCAGAGCTGCAAAAGCTAGACGTCAGAAAAAGTATTAATGCTTGAGTGAAATAACTGCATCCTATGCCTCTAAACCACACTCTTTATACTCACTCGGCACCTCGGTTCTTGCCTAGCTCAACCTTCCCTCAAAATGAACTTACATGAAACCGTTAGGTGCGAAGTCATCATAATTTAATGAACATGAAGTGTAGTCAGTGCAAGACAGAAGGTGCGCAATATATTTGAATCCAACATCATCATATGCAACTTACTAACGACTCGGTGAAATATAAGGGGTTCGGTGTGGACTAAGTTGAAGAGCTGTTAGAATAAACGCCACTCATTTTGATTAAAATGGTACCAACGAAACCAACTGATCCGTGAATCCACTTTTAAAGGGTTTTAGTAAACCAGAAGGTTATAAAAATAGTAAATGGTGAATGATAAACCTTCATGACAAACGTGAACAACCGCTTTCACTTTTATTTGATTTAGGTAAAATGTGGATGCAAATATCACTTGAATAACAGTTGGAACGCTAATCACACAAGTAATTTAAAAGCCTTAATTAACCGATTTTAACTTTGAGAGCATTTACATTGATTAAATTGGTTATGGTTCTTCTATTTGAGTCTTCATTGCGAAATTTATGTTTGTATTTCGGCCCTACATTCACCAAAATACTCCAGCTTCGCGAACAAAAGGTGCAATACGTCAGTTCATCGGCCCCAGAGTCACCAGCGATTTCCATCTCAAAGTGTCATCAAGTTCCGATTTCTAGCACTGAACTTAGTGGGAAACGTGATCAAATTTTACCACTTCTTATAAAATTTAAGTGATCATACTGTTGCATTTAAGCAGAATTACTTTTATTTCTACAGTAAAAACATGGCTTGTTAAAAAAATTAATATGTTCTCTATAAACAAACTTACGTCTCCAGCGGATGAAGTCAAATTTACGATGCCAAATTGAGTCCCTCTCGATCCACTTGTATTGCATTTCGCCATCAGTCCAGGTGGCATGGGGGGAAGGCCATTGCGAAGCAGACAACCGAAATGATACCTGGGTGGTGGGGGCGGTGGTAGCGGACGGAGGGAGTAGTTTGCGGACAACGATCGACCCGATTCCTTTTCGCCTTCCGGCGTCAACGTCCCGATTGAATGGGAGCTGGACCCACGGTGACTGGTAAATCGATTTTGGTGGTCCTCGCCATTACCAGAACCACGAAAACGACCAGACATCCTTAAGGTAGACAGTATTTATACCACGATTTAATAAGGCTACCTATGATGGAACTTGACCTAATATTATCTCCATGGTAACGCTTAGACTAGTGTTTTGTACAAACTTGTGGTAAATATTTAAGTCATTAAATCATTTTAAAATCAGTTTTGAATAAAACAGTTAATCGTGTTCAGAAGAGGTGAAAGTCATTTAAAGACAAATCCGTTTACCATATGCTGGATAAAGCAAAACAAATGGGCAATAATCCAATGTCTTTTGTTATGCGACCGTTTTCAACGGTAACAGGTACAGCATTATTGCCTTTGAAGTTCCATTTGAACTTGCCAGACTACTGGTCATTTACAAGCACATTAATAATTACATTGTGCAGTGACGATTCGGAGCAAACAATTGCTTCGCGGCTGTCCCATACAACTATCAAAATAATTCTCTCATGTGCATTCGACCTTGGGTCGCATTTATTCTGTTGACCTTGTGACTGGCTTCCTCAATGTGCAGCCCGCCTTTTACCTATCGAAGTGGTTCTTTTCTGAGTGCATTTGTCATCTTCCCTGTCTAATGGGATGACAGCTGATGGTCAATTTGGACGCAGTTTGGTTCGACGTTGTCTGTCTTGGGGATTCCACACCTATAAGCCTTAGCAACGTCAATAACGAGGGAGTGGATCAGGGTTTAAATTTCAAGAACGAAAATTGGCGAATCTCGTTCAGACGGCAGCGGGCGACATCACTCCATTGCAGCACCCACTGCAAACTTTTACGGTCGCTAGTGTAGCGAATCTATTCCTCAAAAACTATGGGACTGCTTAATTGGATCCTGATTTCTTCTAGCCAATAAAGGGGTTAGTTGGGCCAGAAAAATATATCCTTACCACACTAGTAATTGCTGTTATCCAGAGATGAAATTCATAGCTTTAAATTGTGCGCCGATTCATGTATTTTAGTAGACAACAAAGAATTTGCTGTAACGCATTATAGCATACTTTCTAGGTTACACTCTTATCCCGTCTGCTTCTTAAAACTGACAAATAAGAGATGTTGGTTTCGTGAACAACGCCAAGCGTTCATTGAAATCTTCTGCTTCTCTTTTACTTGAATAAGAGCACGTAAATCCATTTCTAGTTTATTAAACAGTAGTAGGCTTCAATGGGCCTTGAAAATGCCTTTATTGTCAAAATAGTTCCGACTTGCTTTCAGGTGACGGTTTTGAAGAACAACCATGGGGAATTTCTTGTCTGAGAAACATTCGAAACACCGAACTCACGTTTCCTTAGTACGATTTAACCAGCACTAAACAAAAACCTTAGCTCTACATATTTTGTTTCCGCTAACATAAATCTTTTCCTAATACAAGTGTATACTTTTGATTTAAAAGCGACTGTCCTGGATTCCAAATGTCATGAAAATGGTCTGACTAAGGCACGCGCACAACACAATGTGTCACACCTGTCATCTGAACAGTTTGAATAACGCAAGAAACCATGTGTAGAGCAATAAATTAACCCAAAACTAACTGCGTGTTTACCATGCTATAAAATCCCAGTCATCATACTGTACGCGTGCCTACCGAAGCAATAAATCCCCTTGCCTGAGAATTATGTGGTGCACAGTCTAGTTAACTTTGATCCCACGTTGGGACAGATATTTCCCAGTCTAAAACAGCTATCGACGTGCGATAGTCAGAAGCATAGTTTACCTAATAAAATTTGCTTAATTGGCTCATCCGATTAAGCATAAAGTAGATTATCATGCAGGTGGAACTTGGTCAATCTTTCTAACTCAAGAGTTTTGCGATGCGGACAGATTCGTGTTACATGTCAGGACCCACACTGAACACATACAAACGAACAAGATATTTGGCAGTACCAAATAATTCCTACCATCGACCTAAACACAAACGCATCAAGACATACAAGCATGCAACTAGTAAAACTCATAGTTGGACATAGAACAGGCTAGACTGTGAGCCCTGCAAAAGTTTAATCATTTTAAATCGATGTCACTGTACCAACCGAAATATTGATAGCTTGAGAACACAAAACTACAGTTATCTTTTCAAACCCACTGAAAAATTCACACATGGTGAGTCCCTACAGTCGCATTGATTTTAAGTTTTATGTAGCTACATTTTTCTAGTAATGAATATGCGTCAACGAGAGGGCATTTATCATAGTCAACAATTATGTGTTTTGTTTGATATGTCAACAAATGAACAAGTGCACATTGAATTAGTGAATCAAGTAAAATGAAGTAAAATCATATGCATCTCTAAGCTCAGTCGTTCCAGGTCTTGGTGCACAGCACAAACTACGGTGTCTGATTTCTTGAAAGAATTTACATTGTTCTCAGAGTAAAGAGGGGGAGTTTGATCATTCTGCGTCTAAAAATGCAACGAAGGTCATAAGAATCATCGTTACCCACGTGGTTTTATTTTTCAAGGTCATTCAAAGACAGATAATTACATCACCATGATGAGGCATAAGCAAAAGGGTGCTTTTATCTTCACGAGTTCAGCCACGTTTTCTTAATATTCAACGGGTTTTGGTAGGTGGTTGCACAAACGCGAAGTAATGAGGGCGCATCTGGGACAAATCGGCTAATTGAAAGAGCCGGCCTATTAAATCAAGGGGAATTTAACTGGACCCCTTCACCCCTCAAACAGCACAGGTTGGTTGAGCGATAAATCTACCGGTTTGGGGCGGTCTACAGCTGAACCAAGCAGCTGACGGTGGTGGCGTGCGGCAGCTAGTGGTAGTGACGGTCCTGTCCATGAATGAGGAGTACGATACCACCCACCCGCTGCTCTCCTCATTGCCAGTTTTGATTTACACACACATGCACACACAAACGCACATCTCCACGTTGGACAATTAGGGGGCTCCACACCCCCGGGGCTCATTTTGATGATTCTCTGGGATCCCCTCATTGGGGCTGGGCAAACTCCCAACCCCATTGTCTCCACACGAAAGTCGTGCGTCAACATCTGACTTGCTACCGCCTAATTGGCGCTATACAAAAATCGGTGAAAAATGACAATAAACTAAAGGAAACAATGAAACAAACACTGAAAACTTTATAGAATAGTTTGTCATTTTGGCCATTGTCATTAAAATTATAATTCCTGGCTTTGACTCAGTCATACCCATTCTTGTTCTAGTGCGCATAAAGAATGCTCCAATCGAACCAAATTTACGATGACAAAACGCCCAACGTAGGAACACGGAAGTGGTCTACGTGAGTCAGATAGTGCGATTCAAGACTAATCTGTTACACTTTGTTACTGTCCAAATCTTTAATTGAAAATGCTTTGTTAATAGTACATTGGATTCTGCCTACTTAACATGACCGATTAGCTCTACACATCTCGTGAATAATTCTCAGGCCATGCCCTACATCAGCCAGCACAATGGCCTTATTTCCGGAACGACGAAAATATTATCTTACAGTTGTTTTTTTATTTTAATCATTTAAGCATCCAAATGGATGTGAGTCATGCTCTGCTTGTGCAGACAAATTAGATTACTACAACGCAGTAGTTAAAACAGCAACCGGCAGTCGAGTGTTGGGCCAAAAGCGGGAGCACGCGGTGGTGGCCGGTGCTGGGTGTCTCATCAATAACACAAATAATGAGGGCTTTTATTGACTCACGTTAACACAAATCGAGAGGAGGTTGCAAGACAAGCATGAAGTTTTGAGTATCTGACCAAAACGACAACCACCCAATCATCTTGTCGGTTACCTGCGGACAGTCGCACAACCGGACCCTCCCCTTGAATGCCAATCAGAACCATGGGCACTAAATAACTGGATCTGAGTGTGTGATCTTAAATCAAGTCATAGGCGCCATCATGATAGCGACAGCAACAGGCACTTTAGCAGTAAAGAGAATTTAAAAAAAAACTTCTTTTTCATTCTTGGCACTAATTTATCGTGATGGCTGGTGTGACATGTCATGCAGGATCACTATTCATCAATTTTAAAACAAAACACATGATTTTAGGTTTTAGATGAGAAGGATGAAATGACACAGTGTGTTAAGGTTTCATTAAAGAAAGAACGTGAGTCTCGATAATTTGTATCGAAGCTGCACACTACAACTCCACACACACACACGCACATACACACACACACACACAAAGCCACATGTCAAAAGCAAGGAAGAAACGCTAAAAATGACTCCATAAAAAGCGAATTTTTGAAGTTAACTTTGGAAAAGCGATAAAGGCACACGTTTAACAACACCGCGTTGCCTGGCTCAAGGCGGTAAAGGCGGGTGCATGATTGGAATAAACGAAAGGAGATAATGTTTCCAAAGGCAACTGAGGGTAAGGCACGAAACATGGCGCAGACATCATGCGTGTTTGGAGAAAAGACTGACTCGTGAAAAATGTGCACAGCGTTTCATGTCGTGGAGACAAATGAAGATAGGTACTTTATTTCTGCAAAATCCGCGAAATAGATAGGCTGCTGTCATTGGTTTTTTAATGCCAGTGGCCGCTTGCAGTCATCGTTTGCACGCGCCCAAGGTGGTAGTTGAGAGGCATGGTAACAATTGGCTCACTTGGTCTTTCAGGGGTCTTGATTTAATTGATTACTCGCTTTGACAGATTTGTTTTTTGGTGGTTCGAGTTGTTAGACTCACCACATTAATAACTATTTGCATAAAGTGAAGAACGCAGTAGGATTACATAAGATATTTTCATCTGATAATTTCACATCCACACACCTTAACGGTATGTTCGTGTTTCGAAGTAAGCGAAATACTTTATGGAAGGGAGGACTGGCAAGATTAGATTTAAAACTGCACTGGTCTTGTGAAAAATCAAAACAAGTTTAGGCTCTACCTTTAAGAAAACCTAGAAAAAGTTTCTAATGTTGGTTATAATGAATTGCAAACTTTCCCCGGACATACGAAAGACAAATACCTTAGCGTAACAATCTTGGCCTAATGTGAGGCAACAAGAGTTCCACAGTGAGAAAAGATTGAAGTGAAATAG